ACTATCAGATATTTGGCCCTGTTTTGAAACAAAGAGGAGACCAGATAATCTTCTGACCTGAAGCTACTCTGGAGTGAATGGAGCTGGTGAAACGGGCGCTCAGCAGTGTCTTACTTTCACTGATTCTGTGTGTGATTGTGTGAAGGGGAAGTGATTAAACTCGTTAAAACCTCTTTATATTTTCCATGAATGCGAAAAACCATAATCACTACTGTTATTCCTTATTACGGTGAATATTAGGTTGTTGTCTGTAAAGGCATACAAAATAAGATTCGGTGTTTTCATCTGGCCTGGTGAAATGAATATCTTCTGGAAATTCCAACTGAAAAAGGACTTCACTGGGTAGATTTTTTATGCAGTAAATACATGTTTGAAGGTTGCACAAGGCATCTAAACGTTTACACTTAGTAACTGGAATGTACTGCGGAAGATGTCTGTCAAATTATTATTTTGGCAGGCTATAAACACGAAGGTGAATCACTAGAAGGTGTGAAAGCAATACAGTGGCATTTGATAGACAAGCAAGTGGACAGAAGATTAGTAAATGTGATATGAAGTAAATAAAGTGAAACCACAAACATCGAAGTACTGTAAATGATTGCCACTTTACAAGTTGGTGCATTTGTCGGAGACTGGATGTGTTACTATTACGAAATACTAAACTAGCCTTACGAAACTCGATGTGCTCTAGCAGCCACTCAATTAGTAGCTTACCTAACGCGCAAGTGCTGATAATGAAACACAACTCAAAAAGACTGCGTTATTTAGGAATACGTTCGAAAGAGCAATATGTTTAAATCCAATAAAGGTGAAGGTGATTTCTGGGGGAAAAGTCTATTCAACTTATCTAGCTAATATGGATGAACTAAGGACTCTGAGAATATTTGTACTAACCAGTAAAAAAAGAGCGCAAAATGGCGTCGAAGCCTGCTGGGATGCACATTCGTTAAAACAAATTTTAAAACTCCTTAAGCATCCGGAGGCAAGCGAGAAGCTCATTTAGTTATTCTTTGAGAATTTAGTTTGTTCTATTTGTTTTTGCCCCATTTGCATACTGGAGCCAAGAAGGTGTACTGTACACTTATAAAATTTTACAAGGTAGGTTAAATTCACTATTCATATTGGGTGGTCTAAGGGTACGAGTAGGAAGCTCTGAAAATAGCTTTCTTGCTTGCTAGGACTTGTCAGCTTGGTTCGCATTCAGCTACAAGGGACTGATGTTCACTCAGAGATTCGAACCCAGGTTGCCCAGAGAGGCATTCAGAGACCTCACCTCTGAGCTGTTCGAGATTTTCCTGAGAGTGAACAACACGAAATTAACTGGTCTTTAGTGACCAACCAATTGCCATTCTAACGGCTTAGTTGTAATGTCTCCGACTGCGGGACTGCATGACATGGGTTCGGATCTTCAAGAGGACCTTATTTTCGTCCAGCTCATGATCAAGCCTTCCTGACAAGTGCCAAGAAACAGGTCACCTAATGGCAAGAATCCCTCTTAAGTGTTTCCAAATGTAATATCAATCACAGTGAACCATGATAATAATTCGTCTAGCATGGTGACCGTTGAGAAATGATTGGTGGAATTCGGTTAGCACTTGAGAATGGGGACAATAAAATCAGTTACACTGAAGCAACAAATCAACGTAAATTAGTTAGATTTTCATCGTGCTGACAATCAGATTTCATTACTTATAGAACTTCACACGTTTCTGATTGCAGGTGCATTTTAATAAAGTAAGCGATGTAGGATTCCAGAAAACTCCAATATTGAAAAGGTGAATCTAAAAAATCAGTAGATATGCTACTTTCGGCTACAGATTTCCAGCTACCTCAGTGTAGTGCGAAGTAATTCCTTACGGCCTTTCTGAAGGCCTGACCTTAATCTTCCCCTTATACCTGAGGTAGTCTTGTCGATAGGTTGTATTGCTGTCGATTAGGTCTTATTAAGCAAACCTGTAGATTTGTCACTGCCTATAATCAGAATATCATTGTCAGAAAACATGTAGACAAAAGTATGATGCTACAGTAAAATGACATGTAATTTTATTTGTTATAATATTCCTCATTAAAAAAACAGTTTTCTAAAGTTATTCTGTTGTATCGTAAGTCTAAGGATATTCAGACAAGATATTTCCTTCTGTCTACTTACTGTGTAGATAAAGTAATTACGTGTGTATGATTGCGATGACGTAATGAATTTCCAGTCAGTTTCTTGTTTTAACTAACAAATGTTGAAACGTACCATTTAAATTGAATTGTGAATCACTTTAAGTATTACGAAGTTTGGCTGTCATGATGATATATGAACTAGTGCTGACCAATAGAATGAGCTATTGGGATATTATATTGAGCACTGGTAAACTCCTGAAATCAAAGATTCAACGCAGTTCACACAAATTATATTGCAGTTCTACATTTCAAGTGAATTGTTCTCAAGTTTCTGTCATCTTTTTGTTTGTCTTCTGTATTTGTTTCGCGTTTCTTACTGTAGAACTTCTGATGATTAAGTTTAAACTCTTCTTTCTCTCTGCTTTGATATATTCCATAACCTACTTATATATGTTTATATAAATAGCACACATCACAGTTCAACTGTGTAATGTATTTTAACAAGATTTCTTTCTGACAAGTTATTTTCATAACTCTTTCTTATTTTCATCATCTACTTCAAACAATACGGAAATGCAGTCAAGTAGAGTTTGTAGTTACAATATACAATGAGAAATGAGTCTCTTCTCAAAGTAGAAAAGGCTTTTAGATAGACGCAGAAATCTCAAGCATTCTAGTGGAAGAAATGACTGATCAGAAAGTGCATACGTGGGACTAAGAGATTCAATAATCGGATAACAGTAATCTAAATACTTGATAGTAGCTTAGTTCATTCATGAACGTACTCAACGTTGACGTATTGGGTTGAATTCAGCTCACAGAGCTGAATTTCACACTGATTAAGTGAATACGTTATAACTTGAATATTTTTACGGTATTTTTCTACTGGATGGCATTTTTTGTTGTGTCGAAGATCATAATACATAAAGTTGAGTGAATACTTCACAAGGAATACTTTCCTGCTGATAGCAAAATTGTTTGTTTGTAAGAAAACCTATATAACTGTATGGCAGTTTTCAGATTATACGAATTGATCACCAGTGGATAATCTATCTAGCTGTCTAGAACCCCTGACCAATTCAAGCGCATAATCCAATCATACGGATAGTCGCCGAGGGGACATCAGGTTCGCCTTGCTGACGAACTCCGACAAGCACGGAACCTAGGTTAGGGGTTTTCTGACGATTGACTCTTCCAACCTAACATTAAAACTTGTAAATAGTTTATTCACCTGAAAACAAGAATGTTGCTATGTAGACGAACGGCATAGATAAGTGCCCTTCGAATCAACCTCTATTGCTCGTACCGCTTTCTCTCTGTACATCGATCAACAAAGACTTCGCAAAGTTATCCATTCGAGTACTTTTCTATCGCTTCAAAACATTTACGTCAGTAGTTAAGTAAGGCTTGTTTAAATTTACCCAATAATCTAAATCATTGGCGTCCTACTGCTAAGTAATTATTATTATTATTATTAGTCCCTTGGGTTCCTAGTGGAACATAGGGCTTCAGTAGCACGTCTCCATTTCATCCTGTTCTCTGAGATCTTTTGAACCTGGTCCCACGACAGCCCACAGCCTCTCATTTCCTCCTCGCACGACCTCCTCCATGTCACCCTCGGACGTCCAACTCGTCGCTTCCCATGGGGATTCCACTCGAGGGCCTGACGCGTGATGTCCTCAGTCGGCCTTCTCAGTGCATGGCCAATCCATCTCCACTTCTTCCTGCATATTTGTTGCGTGATAGGTTCTTGGTTGGTTCGTTTCCAGAGTTCCTTGTTGCTTATTTTTCTGGCCATCTGATCTTCAGCAGCGAGCGTAAGCAGTTGTTGATGAATGTCTGTAGTTTATTGGAAATACCTTTCGTGACGCGCCAAGTCTCTGAGCCATACAAGAGCACTGACTTTACGTTGGTGTTGAAAATCCGTATCTTGTTCCAGATGCTGAGTGCAGAAGATCTCCACACTGGTTTCAGGCTAATGAACGCCTGTCTTGCTTTTCCGATTCTGACTTTGACGTCCTCGTCCGTCCCGCCTGTAGTTGAAACAGTGCTTCCTAGATAAGTGAAGGAGGTTACTTCCTTCAAGTTTCTCCCGTTGACAGTGATTGGAGTTTGTTGTTGTTGTTGTTGATGGTGGTGGTGCGGTATCTTCATCACTTCTGTCTTCTCTATATTCACCTGAAGTCCCGTCTTCGCTGCCTCTTCTATCAACTTGTTAGTTTTTGCCTGCAGATCTTCAAGTTTATGTGACATTAGGCATAAGTCATCGGCGAAATCCAAGTCTTCTAGGTTCTTTTCCGTCGTCCAGTGTATCCCCCTCTTCTCGCTGCCTACTGTTTGCTGCATGATCCAGTCCACCACAATCAAGAATATCATGGGGGATAGTAAGCAACCTTGTTTCACTCCTGTCTTCACTTCAAAGGCATCACTGAGCTTCCCATTGTGGATTACTTGGCATGTGGCATCTTCATATAGTTGTTGAATGAGGCGGATAAAGGTTTGCGGTACTCCGTAGTATTGAAGCAGTTTCCAAATTACTTCTCGGTCGACGCTGTCAAAGGCCTTCTCAAAGTCGATGAAGTTGAGGTGGAGAGGTGATTGCCATACTGCTAAGTAATAAGCAGACATATTCGACTTCAGTCATTTGTTTTCATCATAAAGTGAATTTGTCAGTGGAAGCAACCCAAGAGCATTCTGATGGATCAAGGCAAAACATATATGTGAATAAAAAGCACTATGTGAATCAATGTAGTAATGTTGAATTTCATCATTTTTAGAACGCTAGTATATTGAAATACACTTATATTAGCAAAACGGTCGAAAATAGCATGTTCATTTAGAGGGAAAAAAAAAAAAAAAAAAAAAAAAAAAAAAAAAAAAAAAGAATTATACTCCACACAACCACATGCTAACTAATATAAATTCTTCGTCAATTTGTCTATTTTGTAACAATCAGCATAAAATGGGCTAAATACTAAGTATGAAGACTCTATTTAACATAACATATATCTATGTGCATACCTTTTGAAAAATCAATAATACAAACGGAGTTTAAATTTAGTCATGTTTATTTTCATAGATCAAGTTTAATGTGAATAAAGTGATGACTAATTGGATGTTCGGTGTTCAGTATTCTTCCAACCCACACCTGTTCGTATTGAATAAGTGAAAGAATTCGCTTCTTTATCCCGTGGTACTGTGGGAAGGTGAATATCTGTAGAAGGTGACTGCCATTCTTCGTAAGCTTTAAAACGATCTTCTAGTAAGTTATGATATTTGTAAGCTGGATAGGTAAACAGAATAAAAAGAAAGAAAGAGAAGTTTATTCTGTAGTATTGAATAACAAAGGCTTGAAATTAAATGAAAGATATAGGCTTTATCAAGTTAGAAACTTGTCGTCCAAATGAGTCTAAACATCAATGGGAATTGGAATCTTTATCAACTAATCCATCAAGAGTTCTTGCGGGATGTGATAAGCATTTTAGATAAATAGGTTACAACATGAAGATGAACACACATTCTTGACGACCGAAAACAACAGTTCCCACTGATATGAGTTTTCGACATTGGTCCGAGATACAATGCGCCGGATTACCATGTCATCTAACTTATTGATAAAACTATGATACTGATCGATAGTTTTCCGTTATCACTAACACCGTACTTCTGATACGAAGTTGCTAAAACGGAAATCAACATCCAGAGGTATTGGTCACTGAGACGGAAGTTTTTGATCTATTTTTAATCTATGCTTCTGTGTCTTCAGGATGACCATAATGGGCGGATGAGTGACTTTAAAGACCACCCTAGCGACTGCTGAGATAACCAATTACTTTCCTATATTCTGTGAAATGTTACTTTCCCGGTCGAAAGTCTATGACCTGATTGATTATTTTAACAGTTGCCAGAGTGGTCTTTAAAAGTAATTCAAGCGGACTAGTTTTCAGTGAAATAATGAAGATGAGTTATTTACCCTTTTTCTTAGCGTCTTTTTAAATATATTAAAATAGTATATATGTATCATCTAGTGGCTGCTATCTATTTTAGTAGCTGCATCCTCTGATAAGTTTGTGCATCATAACCTGGATGAAAACATTGGCTCACAGTTGTGTATTCTGGCCAAACGTCAGTGAACAAACCAAAGGTACTGTTGCCTGATACAGCAAATGTTTCCAGGCAGTTAAACGCCCATAGAAGAAAGGAGTGATTTCTTGCCCTCTAGCAACGAAAATATATTATTAGGTCTATTTCAACTTTATTGGACTGTTTCATGGCGAAAACAACATAGTATGTGTTGATGTAGATTCTAAATGACCAGTAAACTTTTCTGTGAACTATGTATCGCATCTGTTGCAACAGTTAGTGATCCAGCTTTATCGGTTATTTTATCACTTTGGTAATCCTGACGTTTTGGTTGCGGATAATGGTACTCCTTTTACCTCATCTGTTTTTTAGTTTGTTATTCACTATATCTGCACCTCCATATCATCCTCAGTTATATGGGCTAAGTAGAACGATTTGTTGATACTTTGAAGCGATTTTTCACCTAGAAGGAGAAGAAGTAAACACTTGAAGAAATTATTGACAGACATTTGATAATTCATCGTTCAACACTGAATTAGTCAGTCCCAGAATCAGTTGTCTACAACACAAATCAGGTTTGGTTGACAAGTCAAGTCGATCCTAGATGTAATTTAAACCAGAGAAAATAGCTAAGAGGCAGAGAAACATGAGAATAAAAGATTAGTTCGATCACCATAATAAGACCAAATGCCTAGTGTTTAAAGAAACCAACAACATGTATGTGATAGTGATTTCCGTTATTCACCCTAACAAACTTTGTTTTTGGCAAAATCTAAAGAACAGAAAATTTCCACTACAAAGTTAATGTTGAAGGGAAAACATGCAAGCTATATGTGCGACTCACAAGAGATAGAATAAAAGTCAGTAGATATAGATACTGGAAATCCTATTGTTTACCTTTGGTAGGTATGGTGTAGTCAACACTATACATTGGAGATCAACCGCAACCAATTCATATAGCCAAAATGAATTAAATTTTGAGGGAGTACAATTAGATGTTTCTTTTTCCCATAGAAATAGTTCACATATTTTCCCTTCCTCTAATGGTACTTCTTTAGAAACGACATAATGTGTTTCATTGATGCAGTAAATTACACTTTCTTTTTAAGTTTTGTTTCAGTGCTTTTCATAGTTCATTGTTCAATCTTGACTTTTCTATTATCTAATATTACTTAGTTATTATATTGAGTTTTATCTCATCATATTCGTTTCTTTTCATGTTTTCATTAAACTGCAAATGACAGTTCCCTACAACTCCTAACCACTTTTTCGATTCACTACTTAAACTCCTGTTAAATGTCCATATCATACTGAAATTTTTGGTAATTTCCAGGCTTTTGCATAGGATCTCATAGGCTAATAGTATCTGGTAAATTAGGTGCTGATCAGTAAACAATCAGAAACTACAGGCTATGATATTAAAGTTTACTCGTACCACAATCAATGGCTACCGTAATTGAGCAGCCGAGTAGGTAACACCCTGATTTTCGAAGTGATGAATCCTGGGTCTGAATTCCTGTGGGGATAACAATACTCAATTGGAGATATGCCCATCAAACTGACGAGGCCCGGGTCGGGATGAAACTCACCCCGTGTTCCATTGCTCTCTACTAATCTTCATTAATATCAGAACTGAAACTGCTGGTAGTACTGAAGCGCTCATATAGCAGCACATATGCTGATAGTGTTTGACTAATCTGGTCCATACAAATCGATGGCCGGAAAATTCAAGTTGTAACACAAATCGCTAAGCAGTCCGAATCTCCAAGTTTGTTCAAAAACGCACATACAAGCGTGCAAATTTCCTTCGAAAAAATTAGAAACTAAGATGAACAAGTGATTACTCAACAGATAGACCACACGTCCAAGTTACGCGTAAAATCCAAAACTTTGTAGTTGTCTGAAGTGCGGGTACTGCATTATTAAACAATAATGACTTAAACATTAAAAACCACAGATGCTGAAGCTTCCGAGGACTTAACACTGTCAAAATCATCTTGAAAGAAGTGTATCAATAATATAAACAGCAAAGCTATGCCCAAAGCAAATTGGAGGAAAATATGAGAACCACGTGGATTTCCACAGTGAGGTAAATGACACGAGATAAACAAATGTGCAAGGTAAAATATAGCATCACAGAGAGAACGAAGGAGGCCCAATACACTCAAGAACTGAGAAACATACTAATATCCTAAGGTGTTGAATGATAAACAAAGTAAGATAAGATTAAGACCAAAATGAACAATCGAAGCTGTGGATAACAATGTGAAAGATAAACGTCACACTACTCATCATTAGTAAGTAGCACAAATCTTTATTCAAAAAGCTTAGAAGGGCGAACCCAAGATGGAGGGGAATTAAGAACTTAAAAGAAACTTAAAGTCTATATGACCACTTGGTTTCTCCAGGTCCGTTCGTGTAAGGTAATGTATTTAAAGTTAAAACTTAGTGGTACCTTAACGGCTGTTCATGTTCATTCAAATTACTTTGTTTTCACTGGTAAAATGGGCGCTTATACTCTACACATAAATCAGGTCCATTAACACACATGAAAAAAAGAAGAAAGGAAACTTACTCAATAGAGTAGAAAACGAGGATGTTACAATTTCCTGTTTATGATGAGATCTAACTGTAGACTGTGTTCGTGATTTTGAACTGGCTGATTTTAACAAAATATTCTTTTTAAAGCCTGCCCAAAATGGTAGCAATTCATTGAAAGTCAGTCGAACCACTTCATCGAATAGATTTATAGTGATCGAAGCTTTATGATCAGTTTGACGGTGTATTCGTGCAGTCAATCGATTAACAACTTCATTTGATAGACTAATCTGAAATTAGGACAAAATTTTAGGTGGTGTAAAATCGATAAGCATGTTCATGTCTTTTTGTTGGTACTCAGTTTAGTTTATATTCTGAGGGTGAAGATAAATAATACACTGATAAAATGATACATCTGTGTTAATTTAATACTTTTTGTTGACTCATAGGAGGAAGAAACACTCATATAAGCTGATGACATCTGTTACATAATAAAAGATAAACACGATGTAATAACTTTTAGTTTCTCATCGTTGATTGATATGGATCAAATTTATCGACTAAAATATTGGTATATGGGCTCCTGTATGGACACGTCATTAATATCAGTAGTTTCATTTTCGATGTTATTGAAGACTAGCAGGTAACAGTGGGATACAGGAGGTGAGTTTCGTTCTATTTTGGGCTCCTCAATTGAATGTGCGTATCTCCAGTCGAGTGTTGTTATACTCACTGGAATACAGCCACATTGTTGTTTCAAACACCGTATCGTTATCTATTAGACTAGTGAGTTATGATTACTGAATGTGTTAGGCTTAAGGCTTTATATTACAGTTTGTGGTTTCCGATGGTTGATTGATCATCACCGAAATTATCAACCATTATTGACATATGAAATCCTATCCGGAAGTGAAGTTCGACCATAATCGGGAAAAGCATCACTCACTAGAAGCCAGGTGCATTTTATCTAAAGAGTCCCAAATCAGACAAAACATGCGGCCGTTACCAGTGTCAAAAACGAACAAATGAAGAAAATAAAGCATTGTGTAGAGGTTTAACTATTTCAGACAGCAGCTCAGATAGATTAAACAAACATAACTAGATGAATCGGCTAGATAGTTTAGTGAAAGGTATGGCAGTGTTTCATATTTCTCTTCATTCTAGCTTTATTTTACCCCATTACCACTGTCTCCGCAAATTTAATGTTTTTTGTGTGTAAACAACAAATATTAGGTACCTGATCATGCCTTTATCCTGTTCATTATTATCTGATACAATTGGGACACAATTCCTCATACATTCTGCAGTTATATATAAATAAAACTTCTGCTTGTATATGTTATCTGTTAAGGGATTATGAGAACTAAATAGGTTGGCTATCAGAAGATTCAGTGACTGATCCAAAAAGCTCTCACTTATGATGGTGAATTAATATCCAATAGAATCAAGCAAACAGCTTGTTTCAGAATAATTTCAGTGAAAAGAGTGAAATCCTCATGGTAAATGCTTAAATTAAAAAGATCAATAATTCTGACAGGAACAAGTGAGGCATTCTTCATTCTAAGATTGGTAAAACAAATGTATATACAAGTGGTCTATATATATCAGCTATACCCCACCAATTCTCTTATTAACACTGACAACTGATGACTACAATTCAAAGAGTTGTTGGTCGTCGGTCAAGGTGCTCGACATTCATTTATTTTGGAATGGGTTTGACCTCTGCTCAACCTAATGTACTCTATACAGTCAAGTAGTGAAGCTGACGTCGTGTAATAAGTGTGGTTTGTTGCTTAATGTACAAGTCTCTGTGTGGTTCCCAGGTTGCATTTCTTTTTCGAGTGCGAAATTCCCCATGAATTGAAGAAATTCTGATAATCAAAGTATCCTCATTAGGTTTATCCTGAAAACGGCCAAAGTGATCCATTTAAAAGTGACTACTTTATGAAGGATGCCGAATGAGGGAGCAACAAATAATGTGGTTAAACATCAAGCTATCACACATAATGAACGGCTCTTGACAAGTTGTAAAATTGAATTAATGGAAATATTTGGAAGTATGTCTTGAGTACATGACCAAAAGACCTCTACTCTGAAATGTAATTCTGGTTAGAATAGAAATTACATGGTGAATGTTAACCATCGGTCTCCTATCACTATGAGTAGGAAGAGCTACTTTTGAACTTGGAACACAAACTAATATAGACTGTCGAAAACCACTCAACGCAGCCACTCTGCAAATCACATACACTACTGGCTTAGTGATGAACACATGTGTGTAGGACAAACTGTCACTGAAAGTCACTTCAAAATGGAAATATCAGTTCCCTCGCTTCTATGGAGCTAGATAAGTAGGTAGTATGCAGCGACATGTCATCCAACTTCGATGCCAATAGCTTCCAGCATAGCTTGGTAAAGGTTAACGTAGATCAATCAGTTACATATTACAAAGTCTAGTTGACAGTGGGCACACAGTTCCAGAAACTTCATTTGCACTAGTCTACAAGTACAACGTAATCTACTAAGGAGTGTGAAGAGCCGTTCACTTTTCATTGTTAAGGCTTTGGAAATACAAAAATCGAAACTGGGATTGTGTACTTAAAAGCAACTTTGTCATTCCCTGTCTATATCTACTTCTTAATTTTAATATTTTTATATAACTGAATGGGAACATTTCAACATTTCTAGTCTGTTATTGTTGATTATCCCCTAGTGACTCATCAATTCATTGATTCTCATTGTTTTCCGTCTTAGATACCGTTCCCCTTTTTCTAGGACAGAGAACAACGCGGAGTCAGTCAGCAATCATAGTGTAACATCGTAGCCTAAATTTTACAAAAAATGAAGACTGATCAGTTCCACTTTTGACTGAATACAAGTTTAAAACAAATCTAAATTCAACATGAACTTGTGTTACTGGTCTTTTCTATAAAAATGGTGAATGAAAGAGACGTGTGCATAAGTAGAAAGAAGAGAAGTTTTCAGCATTATTAAAAAATTACGTACTTGAATTTGTGGCGGGAAGACAGATTCTAAAAATGTTTGCAGAATGCATAATAATTTTTTCCTGATTAGCCCATGTTCGACATGACCTCGATGAAGTTCCTTAAATAGACAGACAGATAAAACTAACATAGGACTTCGGATGCTAATCCATTGGTTTAAATTGTCACACTTCACAGTAGTATGCAAAGAACACAAGGATAAAAAAAAGTGATATCACAGTAGACAAGATTGTGTGAAAGAATAAACAGCTTGGAGATAATGGTTGGTGCAAATGTTCAAACATTAGAAGACGTCAAGGGACGTTTATGTCTGCACCACTGCAACCAATTTTCAGCCGTTTCACTAACAGTTCTCAAACACTGATTCCTATCGTCTCGAGGACCCCAACCAGGTGGTCTACATCTCACCACAGGGTTCAGACTAACAGACTAACTGGTACCATGTTTTGGTGTGGCCACCTTGAATTTTTTACCCTCGCATTACTTTTTTGAGGTAGGTGATGGCACGGTATACGCAATACATATCCAAGTCACCTTAGTCACTGAAGGTTCACAACCTCATCGACCTGAATAAATGAAATTTAGATGATAATCAGCCATTCACTTTATGCTATATTTATTTGAAACTGAGGACAAATATGTCAGTTGGTACATAGTTTTTCACTGGATAAAATTAGTTGAATAACAAATGAAAGTGTAGGCTTAGTAATCAGCTACTGTAGTACACATTTTAACCTCTTAGCAGTGTGATATCCTCTTCCATGTTGAAAGTTGAATGCTATAGTCCTGAATCTAACATTTGACAACTGTAATGCTTTAATGAAATCGATTGGTAAATATTCATCATCATTATCATCATCCATCTACTGATAACCAACTATTAGATTTGACTGAAAAGGATATCTTTCTTTAGGTACTGGATCACTGACATGTCGTATACCCATAAATTTACCATATGGACTATGCTTTAATCTACTTCACATAGCAGAAGGGGTTGCAATCCACTTTTATTAATATTATTATGGGGGGGGGGAGGGGGGTTCCGTAGCACATCTCCAGTGCATTGTCAAAACATATCTATTTTAGATAGTCAAAGAAAAAAATCTAATTGTAAAAAAATACATTGCTTAGTTCAACCAGATTTTTCAATGTGTTGAAATTAGAAATTTCAATGTACTGAAAAAGTTATTTTTCTTCAATGCTTCATCTCAAGGAATGACTACCGTCTGTTCTGTAACCAAAGAACTAGTGAATATGCAGTTTTGAAAATAGCCAAAAACTTTCATGGTATATCGTGGAAAGTACCACTTCAGTGCATTACTACTTACGAACTCATAATCAAAGCATTACATAAAAGGAAATGATTGTATAAAACCATCTTTTTCAACACACAATTTCAGACAACAACATACAGGACAGAAATTGACAACATAATTTTTGCTTGTTTTTCACTTACAGTAATTCATGGGAACCTTTTAAATAATAAAATATAGAAATTAATTGGTCACACTGTCATATTGTTAATACATAAAAGTGATTAGAACATCACAAGTGGAATAGTTTACTTTCCACCGTATTCTGACCTCAGATTTTACTAACGTGATGTACATCATGTAATATAGACGAGTTCAAAATGGATAAGTTTCGCACTGTAGTTTGACATTCTACGTGAGAAATATTCCGGTGTTGGTTGTTGGTAAACTGATGATTATTTGAAGGATTTTTTAGGAATTTAGGTAGTGTTTTGCTTTAAAACATCTGAGTCAAATTAGAAACTGGCATCTGGTTATCATATTATTTAAGGTCTGTATACAGTTGTAGAATTGCTTGTTAGGTAGCTAAAATAGTAATAAATCACTGTTGTTTATTTCAAGGCAGTTTTTATCACTAATATTATTATATTATTATTAGTCCCTTGGGTTCCTAGTGGAACATAGGGCTTCAGCAGCACGCCTCCATTTCATCCTGTTCTCTGAGATCTTTTGAACCTGGTCCCACGACAGCCCACAACCTCTCATTTCCTCCTCGCACGACCTCCTCCATGTCACCCTCGGACGTCCAACTCGTCGCTTCCCATGGGGATTCCACTCGAGGGCCTGACGCGTGATGTCCTCCGTCGGCCTTCTCAGTGCATGGCCAATCCATCTCCACTTCTTCCTGCATATTTGTTGCGTGATAGGTTCTTGGTTGGTTCGTTTCCAGAGTTCCTTGTTGCTTATTCTTTCTGGCCATCTGATCTTCAGTAACGAGCGTAAGCAGTTGTTGATGAATGTCTGTAGTTTATTGGAAATGACTTTCGTGACGCGCCAAGTCTATGAACCATACAAGAGCACTGACTTGACGTTGGTGTTGAAAATCCGTATCTTGTTCCACATGCTGAGTGCAGAAGATCTCCACACTGGTCTCAGGCTAATGAACGCCTGTCTTGCTTTTCCGATTCTGACTTTGACGTCCTCGTCCGTCCCGCCTGTAGTTGAAACAGTGCTTCCTAGATAAGTGAAGGAGGTTACTTCCTTCAAGTTTCTCCCGTTGACGGTGATTGGAGTTTGTTGTTGTTGTTGATGGTGGTGGTGCGGTATCTTCATCACTTCTGTCTTCGCTATATTCACCTGAAGTCCCGTCTTCGCTGCCTCTTCTATCAACTTGTTAGTTTTTGCCTGCAGATCTTCAAGTTTGTGTGACATCAGGCACAAGTCATCGGCGAAATCCAAGTCTTCTAGGTTCTTTTCCGTCGTCCAGTGTATCCCCCTCTTCTCGCTCCCCACTGTTTGCTGCATGATCCAGTCCACCACAATAAGGAATATCATGGGGGATAGTAGGCAACCTTGTTTCACTCCTGTCTTCACTTCAAAGGCATCACTGAGCTTTCCATTGTGAATTACTTGGCATGTGGCATCTTCATATAGTTGTTGAATGAGGCTGATAAAGGTTTGCGGTACTCCGTAGTAATGAAGCAGTTTCCAAATTACCTCTCGGTCGACGCTGTCAAAGGCCTTCTCAAAGTCGATGAAGTTGAGGCAGAGAGCTGATTGCCATTCTATGCTCTGTTCTATGATGATGCGAAGCGTTGCAATTTGGTCTGCACATGATTTGTACTTCCTGAAGCCTGCCTGTTCCGGTCGCAGTTTTGAATCCAGTGCGTCTTTAAGCCTCTCCAGGATGATGCGGCTTAATATTTTACTTGGGGTGGACAGGAGAGTGATTCCGCGCCAGTTCTTGCAAGCACTGAGGTCTCCCTTCTTCGGCAGTTTGACAAGGTAACCCTTCTTCCAATCGTCAGGTACCTTCTCTTCCTTCCACACCTTCTGCAATAGTGGTGTGAGCATGGCCGCTGTTGTCTCTGCATCTGTTTTCAGTGCTTCTGGCGGTATTCCATCTGGTCCTGCTGCTTTCCCGCATTTCAGTAGCTTTATGGCGTTCAGGACTTCCATTTTTGTTGGGGGATTTATGTTCACTTGTAATTCAGCGGCTGCAGGTGGTATTTCTGGACGAAGTGCAGGTGGTGGTCGATTCAAGAGCTTCTTGAAGTGGTTGGCCCATCGTTTCCTCTGTTTCTCTTCTTTTGTAATTAAATTCCCTCCTTCATCTTTTATTGGTTTCATCTGTGTTGGTCTCTTCCCTGATAGCAACCTGGTTATTTGATACAATGTCGTCAGGTCTCTCCTCCCTGCAGCCTGTTCTGCTTCACTTGCCAGTGTTTCGTAGAAGTGTCTTTTGTCTTTGCGTGCACTCTTCTTCACTTCTTTGTCCAGTGTTTTATACATTGTGCTCAGTTCCTCTCTTATTGTGCATCCTTGCACTGGTTTATCTTCTGCTTCACCATCCTCCTCTCCTCTATCAGCTTCCAGGTATCCGTCGAGATCCATTCCTTGTCTTCCACCTTCTTCCTTCCTAATACTGTTGTGCAGGTTTCTTTCCACATAGCTTTCAAAGACTTCCAGTGTTCTTCCACACAGGTTTCTTCAGGGATGTTCCTCGATATCTCTCATTTTGTCTTGATGGCTGCGTGAAGATCTCCTTTGTAGTTTCATCCTTCAGTTTCCGAGTGTTGTACTTGAACTGTGGTCTATCACCAGCTTCCTTGAAGGCTTTTAACTTGATTTGGAAGGTTCCTTGCACTAGACAGTGAGTGGTCTGAACCTACATCTGCTCCCCTTCTTGACCTTGTGTTAAGTAGACTGCGTCTCCATTTTCTTGAGATTGAGATAAAGTCGATTTGATTTTTAGTGTGTCCATCTGGTGAAATCCATGTTCGCTTTGTGGATATCTTTGTGCCTGAACACACTGCCTCCAATCACCAAATCGTTGAATGCGCAGAATTCTGCAAACAATTCTCCATTCTCATTCATTTCACCTAGTGCCTCTCGACCCATGGTTAGTTCTCTTCCCGTGTTGTCCCCTCCCAGTTTGGCATTCATGTCGCCCATTAGAATTTTGATATCGCCAACTGACGTCTTGTCCAGTGTTGATTGAAGTTGTCTGTAGAATTCCTCCTTTTTCTCTTGCTCTGCATTATTTGTAGGTGCATAACATTGTATGATTGTGACCTTTCTTCCTTTTGAGTTGAATCTTGCTGTCATGATCCTGGAGGAGATTGGTTCCCACTGCATGAGAGCCTTCGATGCTCTTGAGGACATCATGATAGCCACTCCCTCAGTGTGCTCGTGGTTGGCGTCTGGGTGACGAAGGAGTAGATTATTGATTCTCCAGTTGACAGTTTGGAGAGTCCACTCCCATTCCATCTGCTTTCGCAAATCCCAAGCACTTCGATGTGATACCTTCTCATCTCCTTTGCAATCTGGGCTGCCTTACTGGGTTCAAACATCGTACGGACATTCCATGTCCCCACGTTTACTTTCGCTTTCATCGAGAGAAGACACACAGCCAATTGGCTTCCCGAAGGCTTTCACCAACTGGCGTCATTTCGCCTCTCCGATTCCAGCGGGGAATAAGTTTGTTTTCATTTTTTATATTTTGTTTGTGCTTTGAAGTTTCTTTAGAGGTTAGATTTGTTTTCCGGGGTAGGGTTGCTAGCCCTATGCCCAACCTTCCCTCTTTACCTGGGCTTAGGACCGGCTAGTAACTAGTGAACTAGTTAACCAGGCGAGGTTAGTTTTTATCACTGACTGACAGAAACTAGGGAATCATTGAAAACCTACAGGGAAATAATTTGAACCTAGGAGCGTAGATCTCATGGTGAGTAACTTATGATTTTGGTCATTTGGTAGTCTGGCTTCATCGGAAAACTTTGCAGATAGTAAAAATAAACTCACTTCTTACTGTAAGTTCAACAGACCTACATTATGTATGCCTCCTGGAAGGCAATTTTCACATTATGGCTATTCTGAACTAGCTAAATATTGACTAGTAACCGATGTCCAGATCTAATTATTTCATGAGAATGAGTAAATATAAGAATTGGGGAGAATATCTGCAATTCAAGGGATATATATTTTGCTCGAGTTGTTCTCTGACCTAGGGTTTTCTTTTCGTGAACCTTTCGAGGTAGTACTTGGCATGACAGAGCTCCACTTCCGTTTGGCAATGTCCAGCATGACACTGAAACGTTTACCAGTCGAAATCGCAGGAGACGGCATAATAAACGAAATACAGAGTTACGTTTAACAGACACTAACTATGAGATCTTTAGGTGCTATAAAACAACCCTTCTACTTTAGTTTAGGTGTTATTTTATTTATGATTGCACAAGATAATGGTTTAACTTCTTTTCATCCTTTCTCATTGGTTTGTTGACAGAAGTCTAACTTATTCAGTCTCTAATAGTTAATTCTAACTTCAGTCACGCCATTTCAGTTCAAGTACAAAATGTATTTTCATCACCATGTTGTCTGTTATCATTCTTGCTAACTTCCAGTTTGAAGATTATTATTATTATTATTAGTCCCTTGGGTTCCTAGTGGAACATAGGGCTTCAGCAGCACGCCTCCATTTCATCCTGTTCTCTGAGATCTTTTGAACCTGGTCCCACGACAGCCCAGAAGCTCTCATTTCCTGCTCGCACGACCTCCTCCATGTCACCCTCGGACGTCCAACTCGTCGCTTCCCATGGGGATTCCACTCGAGGGCCTGACGCGTGATGTCCTCCGTCGGCCTTCTCAGTGCATGGCCAATCCATCTCCACTTCTTCCTGCATATTTGTTGCGTGATAGGTTCTTGGTTGGTTCGTTCCCAGAGTTCCTTGTTGCTTATTTTTTCTGGCCATCTGATCTTCAGCAGCGAGCGTAAGCAGTTGTTGATGAATGTCTGTAGTTTATTGGAAATACCTTTCGTGACGCGCCAAGTCTCTGAGCCATACAAGAGCACTGACTTTACGTTGGTGTTGAAAATCCGTATCTTGTTCCGCATGCTGAGTGCAGAAGATCTCCACACTGGTTTCAGGCTGATGAACGCCTGTCTTGCTTTTCCGATTCTGACTTTGACGTCCTCGTCCGTCCCGCCTGTAGTTGAAACAGTGCTTCCTAGATAAGTGAAGGAGGTTACTTCCTTTAAGTTTCTCCCGTTGACGGTGATTGGAGTTTGTTGTTGTTGTTGTTGATGGTGGTGGTGCGGTATCTTCATCACTTCTGTCTTCTCTATATTCACCTGAAGTCCCGTCTTCGCTGCCTCTTCTATCAACTTGTTAGTTTTTGCCTGCAGATCTTCAAGTTTATGTGACATTAGGCATAAGTCATCGGCGAAATCCAAGTCTTCTAGGTTCTTTTCCGTCGTCCAGTGTATCCCCCTCTTCTCGCTGCCTACTGTTTGCTGCATGATCCAGTCCACCACAATCAAGAATATCATGGGGGATAGTAGGCAACCTTGTTTCACTCCTGTCTTCACTTCAAAGGCATCACTGAGCTTTCCATTGTGGATTACTTGGCATGTAGCATCTTCATATAGTTGTTGAATGAGGCGGATAAAGGTTTGCGGTACTCCGTAGTATTGAAGCAGTTTCCAAATTACTTCTCGGTCGACGCTGTCAAAGGCCTTCTCAAAGTCGATGAAGTTGAGGTGGAGAGGTGATTGCCATTCTATGCTCTGTTCTATGATGATACGAAGCGTTGCAATTTGGTCTGCACATGATTTGTACTTCCTGAAGCCTGCCTGTTCCGGTCGTAGTTTTGAATCCAGTGCGTCTTTAAGCCTCTCCAGGATGATGCGGCTTAATATTTTACTTGGGGTGGACAGGAGAGTGATTCCGCGCCAGTTCTTGCAAGCACTGAGGTCTCCCTTCTTCGGCAGTTTGACAAGGTAACCCTTCTTCCAATCGTCAGGTACCTTCTCTTCCTTCCACACCTTCTGCAATAGTGGTGTGAGCATGGCCGCTGTTGTCTCTGCATCTGTTTTCAGTGCTTCTGGCGGTATTCCATCTGGTCCTGCTGCTTTCCCGCATTTCAGTAGCTTTATGGCGTTCAGGACTTCCATTTTCGTTGGGGGATTAATGTTCACTTGTAGTTCAGCGGCTGCAGGTGGTATTTCTGGACGAAGTGCAGGTGGTGGTCGATTCAAGAGCTTCTTGAAGTGGTTGGCCCATTGTTTCCTCTGTTTCTCTTCTTTCGTAATTAAATTTCCTTCTTCATCTTTTATTGGTTTCATCTGTGTTGGTCTATTCCCTGATAGCAACCTGGTTATTTGATACAATGTCGTCAGGTCTCTCTTACCTGCAGCCTGTTCTGCTTCACTTGCCAGTGTTTCGTAGAAGTGTCTTTTGTCTTTGCGTGCACTCTTCTTCACTTCTTTGTCCAGTGTTTTATACATTGTGCTCAGTTCCTCTTCTTGTTGTGCATCCTTGCACTGGTTTATCTTCTGCTTCACCATCCTCCTCTCCTCTATCAGCTTCCAGGTATCCGTCGAGATCCATTCCTTGTCTTCCACCTTCTTCCTTCCTAATACTGTTGTGCAGGTTTCTTTCCACATAGCTTTCAAAGACTTCCAGTGTTCTTCCACACAGGTTTCTTCAGGGATGTCCCTCGACGTCTCCCATTTTGTCTTGATGGCTGCCATGAAGATCTCCTTTGTAGTTTCATCCTTCAGTTTCCGAGTGTTGTACTTGAACTGTGGTCTATCACCAGCTTCCTTGAAGGCTTTTAACTTGATTTGGAAGGTTCCTTGCACTAGGTAGTGGTCTGAACCTACATCTGCTCCTCTTCTTGACCTTGTGTTAAGTAGACTGCGTCTCCATTTTCTTGAGATTGAGATAAAGTCGATTTGATTTTTAGTGTGTCCATCTGGTGAAATCCATGTCGCTTTGTGGATATCTTTGTGCCTGAACACACTGCCTCCAATCACCAAATCGTTGAATGCGCAGAATTCTGCAAACAATTCTCCATTCTCATTCATTTCACCTAGTGCCTCTCGACCCATGGTTAGTTCTCTTCCCGTGTTGTCCCCTCCCAGTTTGGCATTCATGTCGCCCATTAGAATTTTGATATCGCCAACTGACGTCTTGTCCAGTGTTGATTGAAGTTGTCTGTAGAATTCCTCCTTTTTCTCTTGCTCTGCATTATTTGTAGGTGCATAACATTGTATGATTGTGACCTTTCTTCCTTTTGAGTTGAATCTTGCTGTCATGATCCTGGAGGAGATTGGTTCCCACTGCATGAGAGCCTTCGATGCTCTTGAGGACATCATGATAGCCACTCCCTCAGTGTGCTCGTGGTTGGCGTCTGGGTGACCGGAGTAGATTATTGATTCTCCAGTTGACAGTTTGGAGAGTCCACTCCCATTCCATCTGCTTTCGCAAATCCCAAGCACTTCGATGTTATACCTTCTCATCTCCTTTGCAATCTGGGCTGCCTTACTGGGTTCAAACATCGTGCGGACATTCCATGTCCCCACGTTTACTTTCGCTTTCATCGAGAGAAGACACATCGGCCAATTGGCTTCCCGAAGGCTTTCACCAACTGGCGTCATTTCGCCTCTCCGATTCCAGCGGGGAATAAGTTTGTTTTCATTTTTTATATTTTGTTTGTGCTTTGAAGTTTCTTTAGCGGTTAGATTTGTTTTACGGGGTAGGGTTGCTAGCCCTATGCCCAACCTTCCCTCTTTACCCGGGCTTAGGACCGGCTAGTAACTAGTAAACTAGTTAACCAGGCGAGGTTAGTTTGAAGATTACAAAGTAGTTTTGTTGCATCGACCTTAGACATTGATAATCTGGAAATGAGCCTCTTTACCTATTTCCCTTTCTCTCTTAGTATGCTCCGATTTACATGGTCATTGAAGTCTATACTTCAACTTACCTATTTCCTTACAGTTCTTGAGGATGTAGAGGTTCACTGGAGTGGTACATTTTCGAAGAGAATTTTAGGAGCATTCGTTCCAAAAAAGAAGTGATATGACTAACTGTTCATTTCATTCTGTTATGCATTGCTGTAATTATTCATTAATTTTGATTTGATCGCGTTTTTTAAAACAGTTACTGAGGTTACAACATCTTAGCATCAAAATTCTAGTCTACTAGCGTATTCGTTTTTCACTTGAACTTTATAATAGTTCTGATTGGATAAGTAAGAACCAACAGGATTCAAGATCACTCTGAATGTTTATCGGTTGGGCATATTTTATGTGATAGTTTATTGATCAGGTAGTATAAAATTTTATAATTTTAAAATTTACTACTTACCTCAAAGCGTAAAACTTCAATGTGGAATATCAGATCTTGATCAATTAGTGGACAGTTTTCTCTAGACCCATAATCGACTAAGTATTGATAAAATAGTACTAGCCGAAAATCAGGTGGTTGAAAAGCAGCTCTTTTCAATAATTTTGACAATTCTTCTTTATCTTCTAACATCGGTCTGGCTTTGATAGAAAACTTCTACACAAGTCAAATTAACCGGAAGGTGAAATCAAGACTCAATATATTTATCGTATCTAATTTACTTACTTAATATTCGACAGTAGTATAAGAATTTTTGATAGCGTCTTAAATACACAATAATTCACTATGTAACTATTTCTTGAAATAGTTCGAATTTTAGATTTTCAAGAAGGCCTAATGAACCATCACCGTACCTACACACAACTTTCTATTCATTCCCTCCTCCAAACTATAAGATAGCGTAAAAATAGCTGGCCTTTAGTACCGTTACTATTAACATGACTCAGACGCTACAATTGTTTCGTTTTAAAACATTCTACTAGGGGTATATCTGTTGCAATTTTACATGACGAACACTTCATACTTCATCAAACATATTATCTGGAATAAGGTGGTCATTATCAAGTAGAATGATTGAAGCTTTATGTACTACTGTGAAGTGCAGCAACTTGAACCGATTCACTTCTGTGAGAAGTCCTAAGTTGATTTTGTTTGCCCGTCTGTCAGAATGACTAGTAAATTGGTCAAAGTGAACAGTGTAATCATGCAATTGAGGTTTCTTGTTGCTTGACAACTGGGATACTGAATAACACCTACATATACAAGGATATTTAATGAAGGAATCCCACTTGAAAATTATACACGAAGATGGAAATAAGCCATATGGAGTAGGATGTATATTTGCAATGTCATACTAAAGTGTACTTTTTGGGATTTATAGAGTGAGAATTTGTTTCGGATCATTCAGAAAAGATTTAATTCACAAGATTATCTTCCACTTATTTTTAATATTACCTGTTTTGCTTGCTCCATCTGATTTGCTGTTTTCGGCGTACCAACTAATGTAGCCAAATCGATTTCAGGCATTTGGCATAATTGCAAGACTGATAAACCAAATTTCTTAGCTGTCACCTAAAATAATGATCCGAAATTAGCTGTAAATGAAATGGCAAAAGGTATGAAATGTAACATTTTTAGTAGCAGGATGAATTGCCTAGGCATTCGAAACCACGTATAACATATTATGGATTTCCAAAATTTTGATAAAGTCTTTAAACTACGGAATATGATTAAAGTAGCATAGAATTATTACGTTAAAAAGTGATGGGAAAATGATTTGAAGCAATCAGACTTCTAATGCTAAATCACTAAATGCAGATATTTTATTCATTACGACAACACTTAAATATCCAGGATATTATAAATACTTATGAATAATTATGATGAAATGAATGTGATTAAAATAAATGGTTGACTTACACTCAAGAATCCATTAAATAACGAAGATAGGTTGGTTAAATGATAGTCCCGAAGACCTTTCAGGGTAGCTGAAGTTGGACGATCTTTCTCTTGATCTAACCGTTTTATAAATTTCGCTGGCAATTCAATCGGCTTCTCACAAGATTCACGCAGGTAATTGCTAATTAAAAGGGGAATATGTCACTATTATTATTATTCCTATTATTACCTTGATTATAATTAGGAAGGTGTCAGTTATATGATTGTGAAGTTGTGATCATCTTTTGCAAAATTATGAGATAAGTGTGGGATTGACTAATGTCACAGAGGCTATTTGAAGCTTAGTGGTAATATGAAGATTGGTGTTGATCGGTTGAAGGAAGTTAGACTTACTAATTATTCACTGGAGATTTACTAACTTCATGTTGTCTAATCTGAAGTGCTAATCGAGTTACATCAATTATTTTGCAATGTGGCCACCAGGCCAGACAACTCACCATAGTCACTAGTCTTATACGATATCAGACATGGTCCGAAGAGCTCAGTGATAACATCTTTGACTGAGGGTTCGGATCTCAGGTAGGACATCATCTCCAAGGAGGTTGCCGATACACCTTCCCGACGAGTGTCAAAAAGCCTGAAGTCTAAGTCCGGGGCTTCCTGCCATTTACCTCCAACCAACTAGCGGGTGGATTCAGATTACATGAATACTGGTTATCACCGTCAAGGTGTACTGACAAATATTAGTGAACACGTCACGAAGAGATATCGCAAATGGTGCATTGCTCAATATATGAACTCCTGTTGGTGACGAATACCAGAAAATCGTATATATCAGTTACCGCTTAGTAAGTGAATTGGAAGTTCCGTGAAAAATCATTTGTAAGCAGTAACATTGGCCATTGTGCTGAAGGAATTGAGCTCAACTATTTTGTCTCGTATATTTTACAGTCAAGATTTAATTTACTAGCCGGTTCACTGTGATATATCGTCACAAAGGTCTGGCAACTCGTTAAATAGCTGGAGATTGAAGTTCTTTGAAACTTGTACGTATGCATTATCTTGTCAAGTCCTGGATTAATTTTGTTTACCCAACTTCTGAGAAGTCTCTAAGTTAAAACGAATAAAAATTTCAACTTACGCGGTCGTTTGAAAATTACTTCCGAACAGTTCAACCTTTGAATTACTGAGTTACCAACCATCTACCGTTCACTTAAAACTTTCTTGAGAAAGACGGATTTCTAGGACATTAATGATCGTTTAATAGGTTTACACAAATGAAGAAAAGTCTTGATATTTTTAAATTATCATTATTATTTATCCCTTGGGTTCCTAGTGAAACATGGGGCTTCAGTAGCACATCTCCATTTCACTCTCTTCTCTGCAGTCTTTTCAACAATGTTCATTTCTTCCTTACATCATCTCCTCCATGTCACCCTCGCCTCGGACACCCAACTCGTCGTTTTCCCTTTGGATTTCACTCGAGGGTCCGGCCTGACGCGTGATGCCCCCAAATGATCTTCTGAGTGTGTGCCCGGTCTATTTCTACTTTCTTCTGCGTGTTTGTTGGGCGATAGCTTCTTGGTTGGTTCGTTGCCAGCCAGCTAGAGTTCCGCGTTGCATATTCTTATTATTCTGGCCATCTTATCTTCAGCGTCAGTATCGAGTAAGCGTAGGCGGCAGCTGTTGATGTATATCTGCAGTTTGCTAGAAATGCTTTTCGTAACACGCCAAGTCTCTGAACCATATAGTATAGAGTTAACTAAGGACAGGTGATTTAGCTACCACATGCACCATATGACATTCAAAAACCCATTCAGTTAACACAGAGAAGAAGATGGTATTGGACTGAAGATAGTTTACTTCACTCTGATTGTATGCACCCAGAGGCACAACTGTTGCATTTAAATACAGTGTAAGCGTCCTTAGGGTGAACAAACTAACTGACGTATTAAAGGGGAAGATCAACCAATAGGGAAATAGCGTTCTTAAAAGTGGTAAGATTGAGCGATACAAGTAAGGTAGGAAAATGCACGAAAAAGGTTATTTTAATTTTCTATAAAGTAATTCTTGAAAGTAAGGCATAAAAAGTTCATTTTTAAGAATCTAAACTCTCCCTAGTAAGAACAAAAGAAGAATCAGCGAATACAGTACATTTTTCTATCGTTTAATACAAATAATTCCTTACCATACCTGTTGATGGTCGCAAAATCTAGCAAGGTGAATAAAGCAGAAAATGCTGGCCATCGTATCCCAGTTGAGCAATTCAAAGGCAACCTACTCATCATAAATTTTGAAGACCTTGAATATATTGAACCAAGAAATTAAAATTGAGTAACGCTGAAGACATTTACAGACTATGATAAGACAACCGTTCTTCATTCAACGACTGATAATGACTACATTCAAAAGAATAACAGTTAATGTTGTGTCAACTTACGCGTAAATAGAATTTACTTTATCAATTTTATGCTTGATTTTTGCCAGATTTAACTGATTTGTTGACATTGATAGATATTGGCCTACTTCTAAAATAAACGCCAAGTGGTTCGATGCATTATGGTTTAACTCTGATGTGTTCAATGTATTCAGCCATTCTTGAAACACTGATATCAACCTGTTTATTTGTTGTCATGGGAATATGTAAATTCAACTTATTTTCATCAAAAAAAAACTACAAACTAACGTGAAATAAGCTGTAATTATCAAAATAAAATACAGAAAATGTGTATATTGTGTTCCATATCAGCACTTTACCTTTTTAAAACTGCATTTTTTATCTTTGATAAATCTTGACAACAAGTCTGTTTGAGTATGACAGATAGCGGTAAACTTATGCAAATTGTTGAATCAGAACTGGTCTATGTTGATTTCCCGACTGAAAATAAGTAATTCAGTGGTTGAGCGGGATGATCACTTCATTTACTTACGAACTGGAACTATCTCTGATGGATCAGTGACCGACGTAGTGACGACATGGATATTAAAGGCATGAACGACTTTACCCAACTTACTCCATTTATGGAGCCAGTGAGATATCCGATGGCTTAGTAAAGTTCGAGTTTAGTGAGCAGTAGTTCTCCTTGTTGTACTATATAGCTGTGAAACATGGCCACGAAAGTCGAAGGATATGAGAAGGTTCCTGGTGCTTGACAGTCAGTGTTTTGGAAGCGTTACATGTGTATGTCTTGGACTCGGCACCTCAGTAACCTACAAGGCAGGCAACGAGCTTCAGACATAGGAAACAACTCAGTTGATGAGGTTATGAACATCAATCGAATCAAACAGCTTGGATATATATTGCGCATGTCTATTCACTGTCTAGCCCATCGCATTATGTTCGTTTGAACATTGTTGAATGAATCAGTCAATTAAGTAATCCCAGTAAGGGCATGAACAGTATCTCTATTCAAAATACTATCAAAATTAGAAGTTTATCACTGTGTAAATATTCACTGCAAATATATTTTTATAGGTTAGATTTGATAAATTAGGTGTGATTAATGGCCTTATAGGGAATCCTTCAAAAATTAGTTGAACAGCTTGTTGACAGTTTCGACCATTGGGGCGTTCTAAGATACTGCAGCATCCACACAGTGATGCGGATGTCAGCAGTGGCCAATAGATACGGCTCAAAACAATGAACAGCAGGAGATAACAAGTTATAATATCCAACCATATTCATTGCCCAAGCAGTTGCTATCGTCACTCATTAGCTAAGTGGCACTTGAAGCGATAGGTGGTGGTTTCAAGTTTCAGTAAGAAGAATGACAGTCATTGAAAGGTAAGTAAACGAGGTGAATGGTTCAGAATAGCATGAAATGCATGTCTTGACTTTCACTGTTGGTCCATATTTCTCCCTAGCCATATTTGAATTCTTTTAGAAAATTTATTCAAAACAGCTCTGTACCTAACTTGATGGCCAGTAATGAAATCCAAGACGCCAATATCCTGACGGTAACTGATCAGTTCAGACTCGGAGAATCAGGATCCGGAAACTACAAGCTATCATATGGGTCTTTGTATATCATACTGACTATATTTTCTTTTCTTGTGAGATATGTAGATGTGGAGTAGTGACTGACAACTGTTGACCACGATACACAGTTGAGGACAACGTACTATTCAGGAGGGTGCAGTAGAAACCCATTCAGTAAATATAAACCAAAGTAAGAAAATTCAACACTCCAGGAGAATTAAAACATATGAGAACCTCCAGTTGTGAAAAACTGAGATGAATCATGATCTGTTTTAAAGGTAATAATAAAGCTTGAAGAAATGAATTATTGACAGATGCTTACACTATCCCAGTTACTAACACAATTGTCTGCCAGATGAGCAACTAGGTTGGTATTCTGTAGGCTAATGCGTGAAATCTCATGGAAGTGAAAATACCTTAGAGTTTTATTTAAATTCTGTCAGATATTTGTAACTCAGATTAAAATTTCTGACTTTTATTTTTGTTTCGTGTTGTTATGAAGCTACAGCGAAACTGACGTTTAGACTGAGGTTGTAATTTCTGCTTAAGTGACTCAACCTAGAACCAACCTTAGACCAAAGTGTATAGAAGGAGAGAAAATTTATAAATTAGGGTTAGTCAAAGCATTCACACTTTATAAGATGTCATGTAATGAATACATCTAGGTCACCGTGACTAATTTTCAGAAGTGTCACCAAGAGTCCTCAACCATTGATTTCCATCGTGGTATACATTTCTCTACATGGCTCAGGGCAAGTTAGAAACCTAGTCTTCGTCTAGTCACTCTCAGCCTTCTCTCAACCTAATCCAACTCCTAACATGACACGTCAAGGTAGGTGGTGAGCCGGCATGCACAGTACACGTCCAAGCCATCTCCATCGATGAAGCTTCACGATGTCATCAGTGAACTCTTCCGTCTTGTCTACTACCCTTCGCCTGACCTCATTATTGCTCAGAAAGCGATTTCACCATATGCGAGCAATGCTAAGAAGACCTTTGCGATCGAAAAGCTGTAACCCATAACCCATCGTTTCAAAGATCACAGCGTTATCTTCTAGTGTGCAGGATGTTAGGTTTGAGTCCCAGAGGGAACCCTACCAATCAATAGAATGCAGGTACATCCAACTGATGAACCCTAAATAAGAGGGAATGCACATCATGCATTCCATCGCTAGTTACCTTCAAGCAAATTGCATCATAATAAACCTTAGAGCAATAACGAGACATCCGTATAGAAGCCCATGTCTCAGCAGAGATCGAACACTTCGATCCGGCAAAATAAAGGAAAATTACAAATATACATTAACGATAACTTATCAGTATACATAGATGCAACCTCAGACTAGTATCATGTAGTTTTACATTTAACAAGCAAGTAACAAGGATTGAAGGCTTTATATTAAGTGCCTGCAATCATTTAACATCCAGTAAAGTGTACCAAAATGGTGAGTTACTCAAATAGGAGAGCATATTGCAAACTTGACTGATAAAATCCGACCGGTACCTGTGGGTGAAAAGCATGATACTTTAGTGGTACAGGTTAACAAAACAAAACATCATTAGTTTACTTACAGTTTGTTATTGATCATTGATTTTAAATTATAAGTTTGATTCGAAGTCCTTCTTGATTGCATCTCTCTTTCATCTTCTAATATATGCTTATCTGTTTCATTTTCTTCATCCGACTTGAGATATGTTCACAGTTAAAACAAGACATACAATTCAATTAGTTTAAATGTTTGGGTGTTCAGTGTGTCAACATCTGAGTAATTATCACTTCTATTATATGCAATTGAAAATGAATAAAGACATTGAGAACAACTTAGCAGAAAACTTATATTAAGTAATTATGTAATTATTTGACTTCAAATTTCTATGTATAATGTGATGGCAAGCTTTCCCAGGGAAACTTAGATTATGAAAGAGCAGATTGACTCGGATAAAGAACTATTCCTTCATAATAATATGTGAAGAATCAGCATGACGGAACAAAAAGATACGAGGACACAGAAAAGTGACGTCACTTATGACCTACAACAGTAATGTTGCATTAGCATATCGCAGGACTTGTATGTAGTAGTAAAGATGGATAGTGGCTAGCAGTCGAGTCCAGGATGCGCACTTCGTCCTAATTACGACTCGTCGGCTGGATCTGCCTGCCTATCAGTGAGTGGTGCTGTCCCCACTGGGATTCGGAATTGGGAGCGGTCGTTTCAAACACCAGAGCGCAATCCATTACACCACCAAGCCACGACAGTTGCCCTTTGTGCTTTGGGTATACAAACGATAACACTTGTATGTAATAACTTGAAATATCTTAGTGGTCAAGCGTTAGGCTGGGAACGCAAAGCGCAGGTCAAGTGGAACTTACCCCCAGTTGACTTCTGACACCTAGGAACAACTTGAAAATAAAATAACAGAGATATGAAAATAGCATCGTCACCTTAGACAAAGTCATTGGTTGGCTTAGAGTATGCTGACGACTTTGTCGCGCTTGGTGAAGGTAGTGATGAAACGCAGGTTCTTTTCAGTTCGTTGGGCAAAAATCTGAGTATGTTTGGCACGCGTCTTGCATCTGTCAGTTGTAAGATGATCTGCAACAACTCCCAGTTTAATGATAGAGAGTGAAGTGATGCAATGTGTCGGTAAATTCACTTGCTTGAGGAGTTGCAACAGCCTAAACGGGCTGGTTGCAGGTGAAACCTCAGATAGGATACATAAAACTTGATTGGCACTTGCCAACCTGAATCATCTGTGGTACCGATTGACGAGATATCCAAGTACCTGTTAAGTGGCAAGTATACTGCGCCGAAGTTTATTGTGTTCTGTTATGCTGTCGCGCGACATATTCGTTAAAAGTAGAAGTTATGAAGCGGCTACAGGTTTCCGATCATAGGTTTTTTCGTAGCATTGCTGGCGTATGGTGGAATCACTGTGTGATCAGTACTGAGGTCAGATGAAGGGCTCTAGGCAAGAAAGATCGTGAACCATCTTAGACTGAGGTCGCTTGGATATGTACTGTATATGACGAATCACTGCTGACCTAGACGTGCTACGTTGGAGGAAGTTGGATTACGTCAGAAGAGGATTCAGGGTGGCTACACCAAAACGTGGTGCCAGTCTATGAAGTCCATGACTGATGGTCTAAGTTGTGTTGGAAGATGTAGACTGCCTCACTGGGGTCTTTTATGCCACAAAAATCAGTGGTTGAAAGATCTTGATGATATGGTTGAAAATGTGTCACAGTTGCGCAGATGTATTAAAGATTTGATGTCTTCTAAAACTTGAAAAATCGTATTAAACTTTATCTTCAAGTTGTTTATTCTGTCACATAACTTTGTCTACTTTGGTATTCATTTTCTCATTTTCTATCCACCTGTTCTTTGTATGCTGCTGTGAAGTGTTGCAACTTGAGACGATGCACTTCGGTCCAAGGTCCTGTATTGATTCTATCTGTCTGTCTGACCTTTGCGTCTTTGCATGTTTAAAAAAGGTGTTTATTTTTGAGATGAATGGGGATTTTTAATTTAGACGTAGTATTCATCATGGACTGACATCAGTTAGGGAACCATTGAAAAGGTGTTTAGTAAATTCATTACAAATGGCAATTTTACCCTTAGAAACAAAAATATAGTTTCTTTTTTCACAGTATACTAAATGCATATCTTAAGGCCATCGTCTAGTATTTAAAGTACACAAACTTCAGCTACTAGGTTACAGGATCGAATGCAACTTCATCCTTCAAACTAAGAATAGTGAAGTAGTATTTTTAACGCATATAAAATACTGATGCTTCGTAGTAGTATACCAGTCTATAGATGGATAACAAACTGACTGTTTTCGCGGTCAGAGTTTGGAAGATATGCTAGAATTGCTGTGATAAATGTGTCTACAAAAATCTGTGCACTTTATATTGTCGTTCTGACTGTAAAACTCTAGAAAAAGTCTAAACCATAGTTTTTTTCTAAAATGAGTCAAAATAAACAGATGCGCAGAATCATCACATAGAATTGTGTCTATTCAAGTTGCTATACTTCACAACAGAATGCGAAAAATGAGTGAATTGAAAAAGTGTTATCACAGTAGACAAAGGTGTATGGCAGGAGAAGGAATTAAAAAGATGGAAGCTAGTGAAAATGTCCAAACTTTGGAAGTTAAAGAGTGAATACATCCGCTCCGCTGTGACCGATTTTCTGCCATGTCAATAAGTCTTCAACCACTGATTCCCACCGTCTTGAGGACGTCAACCAGGTGGTCTAATCCTCCACACCCAGCTCAGACTAACAGTCGGAGACATTATAGATCGATAGCCAGTCTTGCTCTGGTCACTCTGTAGCTCTCTTATGATATAATCGTACTTTAGCTAAAATTGGCCGTTTAGGTAGGCGACATCTCGGTATGTGCAACACATGCGCAAACCACCGCAGTTGATGAATTTCCACAACCCCATCGACTGGTGAATTTTCCCCGCTTAATACCCTTCACATAACCTCTAAATTCCGAATGCAGTGATTACACCAAATTCGAGAAATGCTGTAAAGGCACTTATTATCAAAAACTTGCAATCCTTTTTATCATCTGCTTGCAAGGGCCATGCATGATAACCGTACCATAGGACAGAGGGGACTGTTGCACAGTACACTCGTCCTTTGATAGATATTCAGATATTTTGCCGTTGACATAAGTGGTATAGTTTGGTAACTGCCAAACAAGTCTTTCTTATGGGAACTAAAATGTCACCAGAAACCACTTCATTCGAGCTGACACAAATCCTCAGGTAAATGAAGTGATCACCCCATTCTTACTCTTTGCTTTCTGTCCTTAAGATCCGTTTAAAAGGTTTGTTTGGTAATAAATACCGTTTATCACCGGTAAGTCGTTCAAACTACTGAGGAAACGTCTTTACGACATTCACAGCTAGGCTAGAAACTTTTCAATTGTCCTAAGCTTTAACATCATATTGGAATTGATTGACAGTCAATATGCATTAATCTGAAGGAACTAATTATGTAACGGCATCAATCCTACGATGCAATCAGTTATTATTTACTCTGATTTCCTATACATTATACTTGCTTTGTAATTAGAATGTTGGGAATTCTGTTTTTCAAGTGATTGACTGGTATGATATTCAAGTTAATTAATTTGGAGGTTTGTGGGGATTTATTTATTGATTTCAAGTCGATATTCACCATAGACTGACATTAGTTGGAGAACCATTGGAAGCCTGGGAACACTGGACAGGATGACGTCAGTCCATGGTGAATATCAACCTGAAATCAAGTTAATTAGGTGAACATGTGCATAGAATTCTTTTTCATTATTAATTTGCCTGCTTTCAAATTATAAGATTCCCCTATTAACTATGAGAAGAGGAGAGACTGCAGTTGTGAAGGTTAGTTTTAGCGTATGGAATTGTTCCTCTGTTAGTTTTTATGAATCAATAAACTGAGCTAATCTATGCTTTTATTATGCACAAGACTACGGTAGCCAAATAGATATTCACTCCAAACTGTTATATCTGTTAACTTGAAACATTTGAATGGTGTCGCAGACTATAAATCTTGACTGAATGGATAACACGGGACAGAAACAGTGACTAAATATCGGGATCAACTGTACTAATTAACAATTATACAAACTCCTATTTATATGCAAAGTCTATGCCCAAGATAATATATCTATGAACACGGAATGGAAAAATTCATAAGAAAGCTCATGAGATAGTTAATTTTACCCTAATGAAGGAGTGTAAGACTGCACTTGTATACATTATGATAATGTTTAACTTCGTTATTCGGTTGGAGGCAGTCTACCGGAAGCGCTGCTTACCCTAGGTGTAAAGCTTGTTGATACTCGTCAGAAAGACGTATCTGCAACCTCGAAGGAAGTGATGCCCCTGTGAGGTTCAAAACCATGTCACTCAGTGTTGGAGTCAGCAATATTTCCTAGGTCCAAGACTCTCTGCCGATTGCCTGCAACCAACCAACATCCATCAGCACGATATTCATTCCCCTAGCTTGATGTCAACCTTGCAAAATGATAGCTGGAATTCGGTCAGCACTCAGGACTAGACAACATGAAATTTGTTGCTCTTCAGTGACCAATTAATGTACCGTTTAACTTTCATATCCCTTAATCTCTTCTGAGGAAATGTTTGCGTAAAAGTTTTCATAGTTTTGAAGCGGGAGATATCCCACTTAATAATTCAAAAGTGATTGAAGTTTTAAAGTTTATGAACGCACACTGAAATTTGTGGAAGTGATAGCCATTCCTAAATTGAAACCACCTTTATGTGGGCAAAACCTTCTGTTCTTACACTGAGCCTATCTCAGTAGACTTTACTTTCTAACTAAGATTAGGATCAACTATGTCACTCACTTCTTGTTCTCCTCCTTTTTAATTGTAATTCCCTATTACCTTGATTAATTTATTTGTCATCCCATCCTTTGATTTCGCATTATGTATATATATAATAATTATCATTACTATTATATGTCCCTTGGGTTCCTGATGGAACACAGGGCTTCAGTAGCACGCCTACATTCCACTCTATTCTCTACAGTCTTATCAACCTGGCTCCACCACTGACCACAAGCTCTCATTTCTTCCTCACACAATCTCCTCCATGTCACCCTCACCTCGGATGCCCAACTCATCGTTTCCCCTTTGAATTCCACTCGAGCGCCTGGCGCGTGATGTCCCTAGTCGGCCTTCTCAGTGTATGCCCAATCCATCTACACTTCCTTCTGCATATTTATTAGGCGATAGCTTCTTGGTTGGTTCGTCGCCAGAGTGAATTCCTTGTTGCTTATTCTAATTAGTCTGGCTATCTGATCTCCAGTATCGAGTGAGCGTAGGCAGCAACTGTTGATGAATGTCTTTAGTTTGTTGTAAATGCCTTTCGTAACGTGCCAAGTTTCTGAACCATACAGGAGTACTCACTTGACGTTGGTGTTGAAAATCTGAATCTTGTTCCACATGCTGAGTGCAGTGCAGAAGATCTCCACACTGGTTTCAGGCTAATGAACGCCTGTCTTGCTGTCTTCCCGATTCTGACTTTGACATCCTCGTCTGTGCATGTGGCGCCCGTAGTTGAAGCGATGCTGCCTAGATAGACGAAAGAGACCACTTCCCTTAAGTTTCTCCCGTTGATGCTGTTTAGAATTTGTTGTTGTAGGTGGTGTTGTCGGTTGGGTATGTTCATCACCTCTGTCTTCTCTACATTCACTTGAAGTCCCGTCTTCGCTGCCCTGCCTCTTCTATCAACTTGTTAGTTTTCACCTGTAGATCCTCAAGTTTGTGCGACATCAGACACAAGTCGTCGGCGAAATCCAAGTCTTCGAGATTCTTTTCCGCTGTCCAGCGTATCCCTCTCTTCTCGCTACCCACTGTTTGTTGCATGATCCAGTCGAGTCGACCACAATCAAGAATATCATGGGGAATAGTAGGAGGCAGCCTTGTTTTACTCCTTCCTGTCCTCTCTTCAAAAGCATCACTGAGCTTCCCATTGTGAATTACTTGGCATGTGGCATCTTCATATAGTTGTTGAATGAGGCTGATAAAGGTTTGTGGTATTCCGTAGTGTTGAAGCAGTTTCCAAATTACTTCTCCGTCGACTCTGTCAAAGGCCTTCTCAAAGTCGATGAAGTTGAGATAGAGAGTTGACTGCCATTCTATACTCTGTTCTATGATGATGCGAAGCGTAGCAATTTGGTCCCCATATGATTTATTCTTCCTGAAGCCTGCCTGTTCCGGTCGTAGTTTTGAATCCAGTGCATCCTTTAGTTTTCCAGAAGGATGCGGCATAACATTTCGCTGGTTTGGGGTGGATAGGGACAGGAGAATGATTCGGTGTCAGTTCTTGTAAAGACTTAGCTCAGGTCTCCCTTCTTCGGGAGTTTGACAAGGTGGCCCTTCTTCCTATCAGCCGGTAGGTACCTTCGATTCCTTCCTGGCAAACCTTCTGCAATAGTGGTGTGAGCATGTCCGATGTTGTCTCTGCATCTGTTTTTGTTGCTTCTGGTGGGATTCCATCTGATCCTGCTGCTTTCCCACATCTCAGAAGCTTTATGGCATTCAGGAATTTGACTTTAGTTGGAGGATTTACGTTCACTTGTAGTTCTGTGGCTGGGCTGCAGGTGGTATTTTTGGACGAAGTGCAGGTGGTGGTCGATTCAAGAGCTTCTTGAAGTGGTCGGCCCATCGTTTCCTCTGTTTCTCTTCTTTTGTAATTAAATTTCCTTCTTCATCTTTTATTGGTTTCATCTGTGTTGGTCTCTTCCCAGACAGTAAGTAACCTGGTTATTTGATATACTGTTGTCAGGTTTCTGTCTCTTGCATCTGCAGCCTGTTCTGCTTCACTTGCCATTGTTTCGTAGGAGTGTCTTTTGTCTTTGTGTGCACTCTTCTTCACTTCTTTGTCCAGTGTAGTGTTTTATACGTTGTGCTCACTTCCTCTTCTCGTCGTTGTGCATCCTTGCACTGGTTTATCTTCTGCGTCACCATCCTCATTTCCTCTATCAGCTTCCATGGATCCATTGGGATCCAGTCCTTTTCTTCTTTCTTCTTCCTCCCCAATACGACTGTGCAGGTTTCTTTCCACATCTCTTCCAAAGAATTCCAGTGTTCTTCCACACAGGTTTATTCAGGGATGTCCCTCGATATCTCCCATTTTGTCTTGATGGCTGGCTGACGTGAAGATTTCCTTTGTAGTTTCGTCCTTCAGTTTGCGAGTGCTGTGCTTGAACTGTGGTCTATCACCAGCTTCCTTGAAGGCTTTTAACTTGATTTGGAAGGTTCCTTGCACTAGATAGTGGTGTGAGTGGTGTGAACATACATCTGATCCCCTTCTTCATCTGACCTTGTGTCAAGTAGACTGCGTCCCCACTTTCTTCACATTGAGATAAAGTCGATTTGATTTTTAGTGTATCCTGCTGTCTGCTGAAATCCGTGTCGCTCACTTTGTGGATATCCTTGTGCTTGAACACACTGCCTGACTCCAATCACCAAATCGTCGAATGCACAGAATCCTGCAAACAATTCTCCATTCTCGTTCATCACCTCACCGAGAGCTTCTCGACCAATGGTTAGTTCTCTTCCTGTGTTGTCCACTTCCAGTTGGGCATTCATGTCGCCCCACCCATTAGAATTTTGATATCGCCAACTTGAGTGGTGTCTTGTCCAGTGTTGATTGCAGTTGTCTGTAAAATTCTTCCCTCTTCTCTTCATCTGCATTATTTGTAGGTGCACAGCGTAGCATTGTGTGATTGTGACTTTCCTTCCTTCCTTTTGAGTTGAACCTTGCTGTCATGATACTGATCCTGGAGGAGAGGATTGGTTCCTACTGCATAAGAGCCTTCGATATTCTTGGAGACATCGTGATAACCACTCGAATACTCAGTGTGCTGGTGGTTGTCGTCTGGGCGACAATATCGGAGTAGATTATCGACTCTGAAGTTGACAGTTTTGAGAGTCCACTTCCATTTCATCTGCTTTCGCAGATTGCAAGCACTTCCATGCCAAATCTCCTCATGTATTTCGCAATCTGAAGAGCCTTTCTAGGTTCATATATGGTGTGGACATCCCATGTCCCCACGTTTACTTCCGCTTTCATCGAGAGAGAGAGAGAAGACACATCGGCTGATTGGCTTCCCGAAGACTTTCACCAACTGGCGTTATTTCACCTCTCAGATTCCAGCGAGGAATAATTTTGTTATTGTTTTTTATGTTTTGTTTGTGCTTTGAAGTTTATTTAGTGGTTGGATTTGTTTTCCGGGGTAGGGTTGCTAGGCGTATGTCCAACTTTCCCTCTTTACCCGGGCTTACGACCGGCTAGTAACTAGTGAACTAGTTAACTAGGTGAGGTTATATATATATTGACCTGCTAAGTAAATGTATGATCGCATAAGGTACCATTTTATTCTGTAAGTCTCCTGCTTCTTGCTCTGTCCAAATTAACGCTATTGTTGAGGGTGTCGAAAAGACTGTAATTGAACTTAATCACTTATAGTAGTGTTACATGTCTCTTGACCAATAAATAAACTGTTATCTGCTTGAGTTGGGCGGAGTAGACATTATTTTTTACTCTAATTAGTGCAGATCAGTTAGTAAATGGATGCAAATTGTATATACTTGCGAAAAGGTGTTGAATGTTCAATGTACCTATTAGTTATGAACAGATTAAAACACTTTTACTTCTTCATTTGATTGACCGATGGTGGCACCGAGAATGAAAGATGAATTGCTTAGACTGACCACTTCCTGTTGTTTTAATCAGTCCGACTGCTCTTGTAGAGCTAGTTACTTCGACTGCGGCTCTAAGGATTTAACTTTTCATGCTCGTGAACATCTCCTAGCGTAGTCAAGTAAAGATGTGCTGCAGGTTACTACTAGCGCAATATCACCATAACTGGTTGAAACGAACTATAAGGTGGATAGGCATGAGACTTTTTCGTTTTTCACCGAGTTTCCATCAACTTGCCAAAATGTACCCGGCTCAGGATCCTTCAGATTGCAGAAGTAGTGGCGATCAGGACTAGACAAAGATTGCCGCTACAACTACATCAGCTAGATTCGGGACACACAAATTCCAACCTATTATTCCTTAAATAATCTTTCTTAGTTTGTTTAAACCAGTTCTCATAAAAACCTTTCTATTTTTTGATTAAACTACCAACTTATAGTGTTACATGGGCCTTGAATTGAATTCCAGTAATAATTGATTCTATGGTTAACGTTCACATAAGACTTTTCTGAACTGACTTCTTCAACTAAATAATGTTATTAACAAACTGATGAATGAAATCTCAGTATTGTTGACGCATAATTCTTTAATATGTACATATAGTTGTTGGACCTGAAAAAGAGGTTATTGAAAAGGATATTCTTTGTTCATTTATATAGCTTTTGAAAAATAACTAACCTGTGTTGTATCGACTTTGATGAGTCCTGATAATGAACTGTCTTGTTTCTGTAAAGAAATAACAATAAATTCATAGATAAAAAGTTTGCTGAAACACAGATAAAAATCACTTAACTTGTGAACTTTTTATATATCTAGTTTGAATACATCGTATGTACAAAACGTCAAATATGTGTATAAAAAGATAACTCAATTTTGGAGGTTTTGGGAGAATTATTCATTTCAAGTTAGTGTTCATCACGAACTGATATCAGTTGGGGAACCAGTGAGAACCTTCAAGCACCAGACAATTATTTTATTCTAGCATGGGACTCCTCAGTAGTGCACAGCCATGAGCATACAATGTATGGCACCCACGACTTTCAGGTTCCGAAGACAACATAACACCACAGTACTGCTTGGTTTGCATCTATTATTTCGAGCTTTTCAACTTCTGTCACGAGGTTATGGATGTATGTTGTTGAAAAGTGCCAAATTAGAATAAAATAGATCTCCAGTGCTTCCAGGTTTTCAATGGTTAGCTAAATGATATCGATGCATGATAAAAACACTTTAAAATCATTCAGATCACTAAAAATCTCCTTATTGAATTACGTAGTCAGTGTTCAGAGTTGAAATGAATATTTACTGTATCCAGTTAATATTTGTCAATCGGACTTTTTAAATTCCGTCAACAGACTGTTATTTATCTAAGGATTTCATGAATTAAGTTATAAGAAGACCCCTGATAATTAAAATTTTGACCTGATCTCCTAAATTATGTACCATCTGCGCCATCGTATAATAGTAGCGGTAGTAGGTTCAGGCTGAAAGGCAGTTAGTCGTCACCACACTGAAACATGGTGTCATACAACAAAGTCTTTGACTGTTGGTCTAAGCCGCGTATGGGAATATAAACTCCTTAATTTAGGGTCCGCGTAACAAAATAAACTTGTCGCTGGAGACTCTAGGTTATACGCCACGAAGTTGATTTCGGTAGTGCAGATGTATCTATAGATTACTTCATCTTAATCGTTATACTGAATTTTAGTATTGTCCCATTCTTTTTTGTTCTGTTTTGATGAATTTCTGACATTTTTGACTGCTTTCTTATTTATTGCTTCAATTTTCATCCGAGTGATTTGTCCCCTAATGTGATGACATGAGGTGTGGCAACTTGAATTGCTATGAGTTATTGCCATGTCCTTGACTGATATTGTCGAATTTTCAAACAGGAAATCAGCTTGCCATTTTCAAGGTCAATGATTCGAATTCTATCACTATTTTTACCTCATTTATCATAAGCCTAAATAAACAGTATTTGCAAGTAGAATGGAATGACACAATGATGAATATTTTTGCATACTTATTTTAAAAGCTAGTGCTAATGATATTGTCTATTATGACAATAAACGGCTAACATTTTGAAACATTCAGTTAAAGAAACGCAAAATTATCTCGATAATACTAAACATAAACCAGTAGTCCTCATTAATATTTCAAAAGATGTTTGGAGGATTTTGACCTGAATTGCCTGAATAATTAAGTGAAATATTTGGGCAAGGGCTCATAGTTGTCTTTTTCCTACTAGGAATTAGTCAATATTAATGTGGTATTGATACACAATGATGATTATGTTGATTCGACATTTCATCAGGTCAGGAAGAAGAAATACTGTGACATATTTCACTACAAAGATGGCCTACTTGAACCTTTGGCCACCAAATTTATCTACCGAACATTTCTCATCAAATTCTTTCCTTTTAATTTGTTTTAATCATTTAAATGTTCTTTGAACGTATCATGTACTGTCGCACATTTCTAAACTGTTTCCGAAGCACCGTTTCTCCAGTCAATAAAAAAAAGAGAGAAAATGTCACGTTTTATGGAAATAGACTTTTCTGTGCGAAAAAGTACATCATATTACTATCCGTCAGATATTTAGCTTGAGTTGCAGATATTTGTGTCGTCTGAATGAACCACCACTACTAAAATTATGCTTGCATTTCTGTTGATTCTTCATTATGGAGCGGATGCTCATCCAGAACCAGGTGGTTATCTCATCTTATTGCCTTGAATACTGTTATTGTTATCATCATTCCGATGCAATAACAGTTTCGTCTGAAAGTATTGTTCTGGGAGTGAATTTGTTGAAAAATTACATGCTGAGAATTCCATTCTGTCATACATATTGTTTGGAATAAAGCAATTACTATTATTATTATTATAAGCTTCTTGCTAGTCAATTTCAGGATAGTTTTCATTATCGACAAACACCAACCAGTAAGTAAAAACTTGGAAATATTAGCTAACTATCTCATCTTTATTTATGACTTCTTCAGTAGCGTCCAAGTTTGAGCCGAGAAGCCTTAATTTAAAATCCGCCATTAAGTTATTCATTTGGAAGTGAATGATCAACACTTTCCGCTTTTGTGAACCCACGTAATGCTCAAACTATCATCCGGTATCATCCGAGAGTAACTGTAGCTTCCAATCATACCACAAACTTAGAAAACTTATTTTGAGACGAGTCACTAAAGAGATAATCCTTGGTTTTGATAATATTATTTAGTAAATCTCAAGTGAAATATTTGAAGCAGTTAGTTATATAAATCACGGTCTTCTAATTTCATCTGCAAAACGTAATTTATCTCCGACTTCTGATCTGAATTATTTCACATCATTGTCCTGTTTGAGTTTATATCTTGTATGTGTGACCAACTGATCAATAACTACAATTCTGAGAAATCAGATAACGGTCGACCAATCACGTGTGACCCCGGTTTGTTCATTCACCAATCTTATTTACGATGGCTTGATCCGGCTGCCTACACTCTTTCGGCCTTCTAAATCTCTACATTTTATTGAAAATTGCAATAATTAATCGATATTATGGGGAATACTATGTATGTGTATATGTGTATCGTTCACCTTTGGTTTTAGTGCCTCTCGTTGACGCCTTCGTGCTGCCAAAATAGCTTTTCGTCTTTCACGCTCCGTTATTCTAACCTGTTCCAACTTTAATCGAATACGTTCTTCCTTTTCAGCTGGTGTTAGATAATCCCAACTTGATGAACGCTTCAAAAGACTAGACGATGTAGCAGGTTGCGGACTATTATGAAAAAAGTTTAAAAAAGTAAATGAAAGTCGTGTGTTGAGAGTAATAGTGGAATGTTGAATAAAAGTTATTCCAAAATCTAGCCAGTATCTTATAATCTGAAAGGGAACTCAAAATGAACTCTATGGAGGATTAGACACTTACCAGCAGCCGAAGCCCTGGCAATTCACAGCTTCAAACCTTAATTGTGTATTCAAAGGAAACATACACAAACACTCTCTTTACCACGGTTTTAATCAGGTATCTTGCACCTCTGTTTATATTTTATTTTGTATTTTATCTATTTATTTATTTTACGATGGAATTCATCATGGACTGACACCAGTTGGAGGAACGTCGGAAACCTGGCAGAACTGGACAGTTGCTTCGTCTTAGTATGGGACTTCTCAACAGTGCTCACCCATGACCCCACCCTTCAGGGATCAAACCCACGACCTTCAGGTTCCGTGGCCAGCACGTTACCATTGACCCACTAGGTCGGAAACTGACGGTCCACCTTTCCTAGCGCTCATTGGCGACTAGCTTCGAGAGGTGATTCTCGAAGTTCCAATGAGAAGTGGTGACTGCTGGAGCCAACCAAGTCGAAAATGAGGACAGTTACTCAACGACGACATTGGATGGAGGTCACACTATTATATGAACTAACAGAAGTAGGAAATGTGGACCACTGGATTCCGACTCAGTGGCTCACTGGCAACGTGCTAGCTACGGAACCTGAAGGTCCTGGGTTCGATCCCTGTCGGGATAGGGTCATGGATGAGCACCGCTGAGGAGTCCTTCACCAGGACGAAACAGATGTCTAGATCTGCCAGGTTTCCGGTGTTTCTCCAGCTGACGTCAGTTCATGATAAATTCCAGCCTAAAATCAACTAATAAACCTCCACAAATTTCCAGACAGTATTTATTTATTTGTTTATATATTTTGTCACATGTTATTTATTTATTTTCACCAAATACAAAATATTACCGTTCTTTGCATCTAGTAGAAACTATCAAGATGAAGTCTTGTGTTACGTATTATCATTTCATCCCCTACATACACCTATCATTTAAGTTTAGCCTGTGACTAGAAACTTATCTGAAACATTTCATCATTTTACTTATATATTTAAGAATGTATAACTATGAAAACGAGTCGTCAAAAGGATAATTGTCGTCGCTGCAACCTCTTGTTTCCTAACTCTACGGGCGCTAAAATGTCAGGCAAAATTATCAGGAAATACGTCAATCATACAAACCAGGATGAATTATTTGAAGAAATAAATAAACCGATGATAGACACTTGTTGATGGTGGAATCAGAAATGAGGATCTGGATTACCACAAGACTCGAACCAGAGGCCTCTGGGATACCGGCTTGGCGCTCTGTCAAATGAGCTAAGAAATCCAGCTAGAAAGCTTTAACTTTTCACTAACTTAATGCTTAGCTTGTAATCGTGAGGCTTATGATTTGAATTCTGGCATAGACATAGTCTTCTTTTAATTCCAGTAGACACTCTCGTATACACAACTTAGTTTTCAGTACATCCACTTAAAGTATTGTTTAATGAATATTCAACAAATCAGTATGTCACAAAATTTAATGAAAATAACACAAATATTAGACTTGAATAAAGGTATACAGTTATGTCATAGTTGTGTTTAATGAAAAAGGATTACTACAATATCTCACCGTCAGTTTGAACTGTGTAAATAGATGTGTCTGTGTGGAAACTGAAATCACTGGTTAGAGACTGTTGTTGATATCGCTGAGAATCACCTTCAGTGGCGTAGATGCATCCCTACACATTTTCCATATCCAAATCGTCATATCGCGCTACCTTACTGTTTTATTCCCTCTTCATTTGACTTACTACGGTTTTTGACTAGACTTTCCTACTATTTCTCTAGATTTTGAGAAAATCGTAACTACTAATTTGGATATTTTAGTTATCAAAGAGAACTATGGAATATGCTAAATATTGAGTAACACCAGTGCACACCACTCTCACTAGAAGGTGAAAATCTTGACGTCTAGAAGGTATTACCAGTTCACCCAATTAGGTAACCCATTTTGAGATAGTTTGAACGCTTTAGCCTTCTCAGGTTAATCAGTTCCAGTGTATCACTGATGTGCTCAATGTTGAATCAGAGAAATGACTTCTGAATGTTGAGATCTGGCTAGTAAGTAGCATTACTGATTAGTTAGTGCGATTTCTTACTACTTATCTTCAATTAGTAGGAGTCAATGTGAAGTACTGATCAATAGCAATTAGCGAGTACAAGAAACATGTCTATTCAACTAACTATTGGATAGTGTTCTCACTTTTTTTTCAGAGTAGCAGAGGTGTTCACATCCATCCAAGTAGTATACTTCACATGATGCAATAGGTAGTATATATATATATATATATATATATATATATATATATATATAAACTCACATTTCTACTGGCTTACGTTGAACTATCAAGTTAGAATTTTCATCCAGTAACACATCAAAATCTTCAGCCGACTTAGGCACCATGTATTGCTCACTTTTACTGTTATGTGCAGCACTATTGCAAGTAATAAAAAAGAAAGAGAAATTATATATTCATCAAAAATACTGATGTCTGCTAAATATATCCACTACCTCTTGTTTTAATTCTAAAGTGATTGGCTGTGTTCTAAATATTCCTATGGTAACCTTTCTGTATACATTAAGGGTCAAGTTTACCATATAGAAGTTTTTCCTACCGTACTACATAGCTGTGAAACACGTCCATTGGTGGAGGACGTAAGAAGGCTTTAGCTATTTGAGCACTCATATAGCTGAGACATAATTAACGCATGCCTGTTGAACACATTGCAAACTTTTTGCTGAAGTACATTTATCCTGGAAAAAAGATAAAGACGGACAGACTTAAACTTTGTATTAGTCCATGAAGTCTATGACTTTTAGTTTGAACCACATAGTGTAATGAAGACTTCTCGGTTGAGGTCCATGTGACAAGCGGAATAGATATTTGGAGACTCTAGGTGATGTGGCCTAAGAATTTGTCATGCGAAATATCTATCCATCATCAATATCAAAATTAAAAATACAGCCAATATAGAGGCGTCCACGCAGGATCCCATATGGCATTGGAGATCGATCAATTCCTTCCATTCAGCGACGGGATAGTAGAAGCAATATCATGTAAACTGTACCTGTCACACAAGATGTGGCTGCTGCATCACGGTGGCCTGGTGCATAACGCTCTGGCGTTTGAAACGATCGGTTCCGGGTCCCAGTCTTAGCTGCAACAACATCGCTCACTGGGTGCAGATATATCCACCTGAGTCTCAAAAAGGACGAAAAGCGCGTCTTGGGTTCCGCTGCTAGCCACGGTATGTCATTAATATCCATCAGTTTGGGATACTTTCAAGTCTACAATCCTTAAACCTATAATATTCTTTGGTGAGATACATCAACACCAGAAACACGTACATTCGTAAGCGAAATGGTATGTCTTAGACTATTTCCTATATGGTTTACCCTATTTAATTTCTGCTAAAGTCAACTTACTTTTAAGAGTCAGAAAATGAATCCAGTTGTAGATTTCATGACTTTCAGAAGAAATCCATAAAATTCGCGACCGTGTTTACGTGCACGTATGTAACTTAGACTTACTTCTATTACCTAGTCTGTATTACAATGCGCCTGATCTAAGTTTATTCCATAATCACCTGTTGAAACTAAGTATAACTGCACTTGCAATGACATTTGTATGTCCGCCCCCCTCCTATACCAACACACGCACTCTAGACTAACAATCGAAGTCACCAGTTTTTAATAAGAAAATGCTAAATAATTCTGTCAAATAGGTTAATAAACTTCAAAATGTATGATTAGTCACTCAAAGATAGATATATATGTTGAGTAGGTAAGGGAGAGAGAGTCAATTGTTTGCATTTTTTAACATACAGAAATGGAGATAATATTTAGCTAAAGAATAGATAAAGAAGACTACGAGTTTGGTGCAGTCCTAACTAACTAATACTTATTACATTGTCGATATTTGATCTACTTTATCAGTAGTCCCCAAGATACCAGGCCAGTTGACACAAGCATATACACAATTAAAATCTGTGGTCAGGAGAAAATCCGTTTCATAACAAAGATCCAGGTCAAACTTTTTGTTGAGTCTTTAGTGAAGACCATGATGAGAGAATCAAAGTTTCGAAAGCATGTTATCTTCACCACACCACTTTTTCAGTCAGAGAGATTTTTTTCGATAAAAAAAAAGCTACGTTCGCATGAAAACCTATATAAGAACACTATCAATATGTGTGACTGGAACGAAAATAAAGTGGTTTAAAGCTGACCCTTGTGGCTGACTACTTGAAGGCAGTACATTTGAATCCTGATGTTGCCTAGGCTTTCTCAACAAAACTCAGATATTGAATGACACCAAAATTAATATTAGAATTTTCAAAGTTGTACACATCATTGACTGATAACAATTGAGGAACCACTGAAAACCCTTGCGCACTGGACAGCTGTTTCATCCTCGCGTCAGACTCCTCAAGGGTACGTACCCACGATCCCTTCAAGGGTTGAGCCTAGGGCATTCAGTTCTTGCAACGAACTGGTCAAGTATTCAACCACCGAGTTGCAGTTCATTGGTCTATAGGTTCCTTTTTCTGTCGATTCGTGATATAACGCGACTACCCTTAGGACACCCTAAAAATAAAATCCTTGTAAAACCTCAAACTACAATAATCTTAATGTCATTTTACAGTCTGTATTCGAGCGATTACAACCAGTATCTGGCAACAGAATCAACCTATGCAGGACTTCTGTTACCGCTCAATTCTTATTGAACGCTTCATTTTTTAATTGTCGACAATGAAGACAACGTGTCATCGACAAAGTGAACAGTGAATATATGAATAAATAAATCGAGTAAAGAAATTTTTTGAAAAAAGAAGTACAAAAAACACCCACTTGGTTTTATTAAATGCTTACTAAGCAAACTGAAAAGCATCAAATTTCAAATAATCAATCCAAAATGGAAAGATATCATTTAAACAAATACTTTTCACTGGATCAAATATTTGAACAGGTGTTAGGTCCTTTTTAGTTTGAATTGTTTCAGTAATCAATTTCACAACTGATGGATCAATATCTGTTAAATAAAAACAACAATAAACCGTTGTATTTTGAGTTCAATCACATATTTTTAGTATTATGCAGTTAAGAGTTTAAACGTTTGGTGGTTGGATTCAGTGTAGTGGTTACCAATGTGGTAGTTCTGAGTTCAAACTCTAAACAAGCGTTTAAAAACCTTGGACTCATAAAACAAACACTTACTCAGCAACTAAACAGATATTCACTGCGTTTGTTCCGTCATGCTACGACAAAACTGACTCAACATTTAGACACAGTCTCCATTAGAAACAGGACAGGACTTTTTTCGTAGCAGTTTTAGACTCATCGGCAGTTAGAACTCCCTAGGCCGGGATACCAAAGTCCTCGAGAAGCGCATTGTCACCGACATGGGTTCTTAGAAGTCAACCAGACATGCAGTGAGATTGGATACGAATCCCAGATATTTCTCAATAGTTGTAAGATATCATCATATTGGTAGAAAGAAACGAATACTGGTCACTGAAGTGTGGGTCGTTACCTTCAGAGTAATATTTTCCACACAGAATATGGGTCGAGGAGAATTATTCCTACGTACGCACGATAAATTTTCATGAAGGTCTGAATTTGCTCCTTACTATCTCATTGATACCAGCGCGTAAAGATGAGTTGAATTTTTGGTCAAAAAACACTTCAAATCAGTAACCTGACCAATAAGACAGTTACTGCTAGTTTAGATTCATGTACAGACATTGTGTGACCTATTGTAGGACACTGATGGCATAAATCTCCATGTACTTATGACTTTCTACACTTGAAAACCAGCGAACACGGTAAACAGTGACAGAACCTAGTAGAACCAAACTATACAAAAGCGGAAATCATAAGATAAAAAATGAAGGAAGAAACTTGTTGAAAATATGTTCCGGTTATAGAGTGAAAGGGGAAGCATGTATAATTTTATTCATCTTGGTGACTTGCAGTGAAATCCAGGATGCACGTTCCATTCCATTTGGGACTCGTCAGATGGATGTACCTCCATGAGGTGAGTGATGCTATCACCAGTGGGACTTGAGCCAATTATCTATTGCTTCAACGTATAATTTTATTTGATTCGTAAGTTGTTGAGCAAGTTTCCAGTACGTTGATCCCACTGAGAAAAATTAAAGTAACTACCTTATAGCAGCATAACAGTGTCTTCGTGGATAAATGATATCATTTCGTCTCTCTGAGGTAGCCGTGATCTGATAGACTTGCATTGATACTGGTTGGTTGAATGTGAAATGAAATCCTGATTGAGCATTCAGTATGAGTATAATTATAAATTTCGCTATTTTAACACATCTTTATTGTAAAAATATAAACATATGCTACTGGGTGATGAAAGAAAGTGAAATAAAAAACCTGGACAACAGTAAGGTTTGAACCGGCAAAATGAATCGTAGACTCCTTACTTATTGCAACGCATATGGACGAAGGAAATATGTTGAAAATTTGTAACTTCAGCCCTCCTATACTGGAAATGATCTAATTACATTTTATGGGGGTGTCCATTACTGATAAACTCCCATGACTTAATCGATTATTGGTTTGATAAAAATCGACGGTCTTCAACACCTTCTTGCCATACCAACCGAAAGATCAGACAGACCTAACACTAATTAAATTTCAATTAAATATAGATTATGAAATATTATCATTACAGCGCACTTTCCTCAATATTAGGTGTTGGTAGGCAGTGTATGTTTTATGAGGGTTCCTGTTAGTTTTCACTAACCACCTAACTTACATAGATATTTACAGAACTTATTTAACGAATAATATAATTCACTCACTCAAGTCCCAGCGACTACCTGACCTTAGAAAGTTATTCACAATGTACCAAGTTTTTGCCAGCTTAGAGAAACGATTTGGCATTGGACTCAGATTTTGTCTTACGTGATCATGTAGAGCTTGGAGAAAGCCAAGCATTCGACTTTGTGTTTCCAAACAGTTTCTGCGAGGAAATTGGAAGGAAAGGAAAGTTAAATGGAGCAGTTCAAAAGTGCACACGTGGATTTATTGTTATTGGTTATTGATTTTAAAATAAAAGGGTTTATTGTATCTCATTTAAAAACTAATGAACGGTTAAGATCAGCTCAAGAGTGTTTTGGACAGAAAGAAACAAATAACCAGAACAATGGTCGAAAATACTTACTACTGTACTTAGTCATTGTGAAGATCACACACTTTGGCTGAGGTTCAGAAGATTTAAGTTATTAATGTTTATAGACTCCAGGTAGCGTAACAAAAAGTCGACCTGGCCATACTCTATAACAGTCCAAGATGTTGTACTTCACAACAACACATCAAGATAATAGAGACCGAGATCATAGCGAAGGAGATAAAAGGTGATCGGAAGTCTTAGTAAGTCATTAGAAGAAAGAAAAAGAGGGTTAAAAAACAATGAAAATATTCCTTACTGTCGGTAACAGGAAGACAATGTATGTCTGCATCTGTACCAACGAGATCAACTCTAAGCAACATGACCAAGGGTCTCCAATCACCGATTTCGGTTGCCACACGGAAGTGTGAGGTTTTACGGAATGATGACACAGTCTGGCCACGTTTTAACTCCTTCCATCTTCAGCCCAACTCAGTTGACATTGTGAGACAGGATAGATGGTGACTAGGCATGTGTAAACGAATATGATAGTAGGAAATGTAACAACAATTAAAGAAGGTAATAAAAGAGAAAGAATAGTAAGTTTTGAAATCAGCTTTGGTGATGAGATATAATAAATGTGACTAGGGTATTTTACTGTACATACAAGGAGGAGACTTAAATTAGTGTATGCATAAGGCCACAGTAAGTCTAAGTATACATCACTGACACATGGCATGTCAGATTTGACTTCATGTCAGTAATTTGTTCTGAAATGGAGGAAGATGGTTTGCTGCCATCCTCATTTATCGTTGTTCGCAAAGAGTATACCTTGAATATTACTTCTCATGTGTATGTACACACACGCAAAGCGGGCGGTGGAACAGGATGTGACGTAACCATCTCAGTGGTGATGAGCTATGTACTGCAATATGTGATTTGTTTTCTTAGCTAGGGTAAGTCTAAGAAAATCTCGAGTCTTCACTTGGTAATGTAGTTGAAATAAAGTTTACAAATTGGCTATGCAGACTCATTTATCTGTGGATTTCGCAAGCCAAAAAACAGTTGCATTTCATTCTTGAAAATATTCTTATTTTTTGAACACTATTAGTCAAGAGAATTCACGTTGTTATGTACTGCCGAAACCCACTAACCAGCTGATGTATTAGATACTGTATAATGTTGTTGAATCATTCAGTTTAGTGACTGGATATTTTAGTTTCAACTTGAAAAGTTTCGTAATTGTACAGAGTCCAGCAGAAAGCAATCATTTACTTATAAACAACTTTAATAGATCTGTTTATGTTGTGTTCTCTGGGCTGGATGGTTTAATCGTGAAGATTTCATTATCTTTCTAGACAAAATCATCAGCAGCAAATTCAATATGAAGTGATCTAGCAATATCTTCTTCACTAATTCAGTGGTTTGCCCTGGCGAAGTGGCTTGTGATTAGTTGTTTCTTTTAAAAACTTTAGTGTACGAAAAGTCAACGTACACTGATCAAATCCTCAACTACAGTAGCAACAAACCAACAATGCATATAATTAGTTCCGTACAAATGTCATTCAAAAAAACGAGAACATAAAGCAATACAACAAGTTCATAGAGGAACAAAGAAAATTGCTTGATGTCTATCCTAAAAAAACGGCTGCCCACGAAAGCTTACCAGTTCATCATCAACTACAAAGTCATCCACAGAAATCAACAAACGTATCATCCTATCATACATAAAGAATATATCAGGAACCATGACAAGATTACTGAGACTACTCGGAATTGATGTGGCTCATTAACCAACAAATCCCCCCCCCCTACCCAAAACCTATTGTGTATACCAAAGGATGCAATGACCAAAAAAGACAAACCAAATGTGATTTACAAAATCAACTGCATCAACTGTAGTCAACACTACATTGAACAAAGTGGTCACCCTCTTCACCTTCGTCTTCATGAATGTCAACTGGTTTATTAACAGTCAAGACATCTCATAGCTTATTTCAGTGCACGTGGATAACTATGGACATGAATTCAGTCATAAAATATAGAAATCTTGAACAGAGGAAACACAAAGAATACCAGAGAATTCTTAGAAGCTTGGCATTCAGGTCAGTCAGTCAGCAGTCAATAGATGCATAGACATGGACCCAATTTATCAACCAACAGAAAAACTGATAAACCACGAGAAGGTTGGAAGTCGAACAGAGAAAATGTCAACAAGGAAATATGTCCAGTCACTGACACATCAATCAAGGGAAGAAACGCACCATCACGGTAAGTTACTGAATCACTCTAGGAGCGATAATATCGGATTACTTCATACTGAAGTTAGTGCTGATGATGTTGTCGTCTAGAAAGACAATGATAGCTTCACGGTTAAACCACCCAGCTGAAGGGACGCAATACAACCGAGATCAGTCACCTGAGCTACAAATTTTCTCCACTATTTCAGCTTTATTAGACTATGCAATCCAGTGATTAGTGTATGAAGGTACAAAAGGAATCATTACCGGATAAAATGAAGAGAATTTTACAATATTATGCAGTGTAAATAGGCGCAGTGTTCCAGGTAAATAAGGTTATTTCTCTGAAAATCTATTTAGAAATAATCAGACCTGTTCAGAATTCATTCTCAGCGGGGAATCACAGTTTTCGTGACCGTTTGCGTAAATACGATGACCCTTCCCCGCCACCTAAAGTTTTATTTTGAATATTACTGTTTATCAGATTATTCGAATTTTAAATGTTCTGTCTTCTTATATTCATTGCAACTCTGACTGACTGGATTCTCTTGCACTAAAGGAGTTTAGCTCTGCTCCAAAAAATGTTCTAGAGGTAAAGAAACGACATATTTATAGTGTTGAAATGATAATATATATCAGAAAATTCCATGTATACATGAACTCATATGGTGATGTAATCTACTTTACAAATAAATAAAAAAAAGTAATGAAGCAGAACTAACTATATGCAAATGCAAAATAAAACTTTCAGTTTTATGGAGATTTATTTATTGATTTTAAGTTGGTATTCATAATGGACCGAAATCGGTTGGAGAAACATTGGTAACCTAGTGCCCATTAGTGACTAGTTTCGAGAGGTAATTCTTGAAGTTCCAATGAGAAACTGTGACTAGTGGAGCCAACAAAGTCAAATATGAAGAAAGTTACTCAACGGCAGCATTGGATGGAGGTCACACTATATCGTGAACTGATAAGGGGGGGAGGGAAATATAGACAATCTTTTCCAAACCCAGTAGCTCAGTGGTAGCGTACTGGTCACCGAACATGAAGATCCTGGGTTCGCTCCCTGGGGAAGCGAAGTCAAGATTGCATGCTACTGGGGAGCTCCACACTGGGAAGAAACGGCTATCTAGTGCCCCCAGCTTTCCATTGTTTCTCTAGCTGATGTCAGTTTATGATGAATACCAGCCTGAGATTCAAAATAAAACCTAAACAATATGGAAGTTAAGATACTAGTGTTTAGAAAAAAGCCTCAAAGTCTACTAAATACTCGAAGTTTAAGTCATCCCACCTTATATCAGTTTAGCCAGGGTTGGTAAAATGCTAATGTAACAGAGTAAGAAGACTGACTAGTAAGTGAGAAACTACATATCAAAGAATGACATGTGTAAACAAGTACGACTGCTTAACAAATATCCATGTAGGTTTGTAGGTAGTGGTAAAAAGAGTAATGCAGTTACAGACACAAATTGAAGTAATGATGGTAAAACTGAGCCGCTAAAGAAATTTAAAATCATATATAAGACGGACAAACCTCGCCTGGTTAACTAGTTCGCTGGTTAATAGTCGTTTCTAAGCTCGAATATACAGGGAAGGTTGGGCATACGCCTAGCAACGCTACCCCAGAAAGCCAATCCAGTGGCTAAAGAAACTTCAAAGCATAAAGAAAATATAAAAAATGAAGATAAACTTATTCCTCACTGGAGCTGGGGAGACGAAATGACGCCAGTTGGTGAAAGTCTTCGGGAAGCCAATCGGCCGATTTATCTTCTCTTCTCTCGATGAAAGCGGAAGTAAATGAGGGGACATGGAATGTCCGCACCATGTATGAACCTAGTAAGGCTGCCCAGATTGCAACAGAGGTGAGAAGGTATGGCACGGAGGTGCTTGGAATCTGTGAAAGCAGATGGAATGGAAGCGGACTCTCCAAACAACTGGAGAGTCAATATTCTACCCAGATATTGTCACTCAGATGACAACCACGAGCACACTGAGTATTCGAGCGGTTATCATGATGTCCCCTCCCAACAGCATCGAAGGCTCTCTCGCAAGCAGTGGGAACCAATCTCCTCCTCCAGGATCAGGATGATGACAGCAAGGTTCAACTCAAAAGGAAGGGAGGAAGGAAGTAGGGAAGGTCATAATCTTACAATACTACTCTGTGCACCTACAAATAATGCAGATGAAGAGAAGAGGGAGGAATTCTACAGACAATTGCAGTCGCTAATGGACAAGATCCCACCCCAGTTGGTGACATCAAAATTCTAGTGGATGGGATGATATGAATGTCAAACTGGGAGCAGAAAACACAGGAAGAGAACTCATCCATTATGGGTCGAGAAGCACTCGGTGAAATGAATGAGAATGGAGAACTGTCTGCAGACATCTGTGCATTCAACGATGCAGTGATTGGAGGCAGTGTGTACAAACACATGGATATTCACAAGGCAGTGACATCGATTTGATTTCAGCAAATACAAGACACACTAAAAATCACATCGACTTCATCTCAATGTGAAGAAAGTGGAGATGGAGACGCAGCCAGCCTTCTGGACACAAGATCAGATCAGATAAAGAAGGGGAGCGGATGTGGGTTCACACCACTCACACCACTATCCAGTGCAAGGAACCTAATTTCAAAATCAAATTGAAGGCCTTCAAAGAAGCTGGTAATAGACCACAGTTCAAGTTGAACACCCTGAACAGAAACTTAAGGATGAAACTATAAAGGACATCCTCACGTCAGTTATCAGGACAAAATGGAGGACATAAGGCAACATTCCTGAAGGAACCTGAGTGGAAGAACACGATAACTTTTTGAAAGAGACGTGGGAGGAAACCTGCATAATAGTGTTAAGAAGGAAGAAGGAGCGGTAAGACAGGAAATGGATCTGGACGGATACATGGAAGCTGACAGAGGAAAGACAGGAAGACGGTGAAGGAGAACACGAACCAGTGTAGGAAGAGATGAATAGCGAAAAAATGAAATGAACACAACTTATAAAACAGTACACTGGTCAAAGAAGTGGAGTGCGTGCAAAGACAAAAGACACTTCTACAACACACTTGCGAGTGAAGCAAAAAAGGCTGGTGGTAGGAGAGACACAGACCTGACAACATTGTATCAAATAACCAGGTCATTATCTGGGAGAGAAGAGATCAACGCAGACGAAATCAATGAAAGATAGTGAAGGAAACCTAGTTACCAAGGAGGGGAAACAAAGGAAACAATGGGCTGACCAATTCAAAATACTCGTGAATCGACTACCACCACCACCACCACATGCAACTCGTTCAGAAATACCACCGGCGACCACAGAATTACCAGTGAACACAAGCCATAAAGTTGCTTAAATCAGGCAAAGCAGCAGGATCAGATGGAATTCCGCCAGAAGCAACAAAAACAGATGCAGAGACAACATCGGACATGCTCACACCACTATTGCAGAAGGTTTGTAAGGAAGGAATCGAAGGTACCTACCGGCTGGTAGGAAGAAGGGCTATCTTGTCAAAATCCCAAAGAACCTAGGCCAAATAAGTCTTTGCAAGAACTGACGCCGAATCATGCTCCTGTCCCTGTCCCTGTCCACCCAAAGCCAGCAAAATATTATGCCGCACCATCCTGGAGAGACTAAAGGATGCGCTGGATTCAAAATTACGACCGGAAAAGCCTATCTAGCTTCAGGAAGAATAAATCATGTGCGGATCAAATTACAACGCTACTCATCATCATGGAACAGAGTGTAGAATGACAGTCAACTCTCTACCTCAACTTTATCGACTTTGAAAAAGCCTTTGACATGGTCGACCGATAAGTAATTTGGCAGATGCTGCTTCAACACTACGGTTTCAGTGCCACAAACCTTAATCAATCTCATTCAACAACTATATGAAGACGCCAAATGCCAAGTGATCCACAATGGAAAGCTGAGTGACGCCTTTAAAGTGAAGACAGGAAGGAGTAAGATAAGGCTGCCACCTACTATCGCCGATCATCTTCCTCATTATGATCGACTGGACTGGATCATGCAACAAACCGTGAGGAGTGAGAAGAGGGAGATACGCTGGCTGGACCAACGAAAAGAGTCCAGAAGAAGATTTGAATTTCGCCGCCGATGATAAATTCTGTCTAGTGCCACATAAACTAGAAAATCTACAGGCAAAACCAACAAGTTGACAAAAGAGGCAAGGCAGTGAAAATGAGACTTCAAGTGAACGCAGAGAAGATAGAGGTGATGAAGATACCCAACCAACAACAGCAACAACAACCACCAATCACCATGAACGAGCGAAACCTAAAGGAAGTAGTCTCTTTCACCTACCCAGACAAGGCAGCATCCTTTCAACTACAGGTGGCGGCACGGATGAGGATGTCAAAGCCACGATCGGAAAAGCAAGACAGGCTTTTATTAACCTGAAGTCAGTGTGGAGATCTACTGCACTGCACTCCACTCAGCAGAAAGCCTGAACAACATCCGGATTTTCAACAATAATGTCAAGCCAGTGCTCCTGTATGGTTCAGAAACTTGGTACGTCACGAAAAGCACTTCCAACAAACTAAAGACATTCATCAACAGCTGCTGCCTACACTCACTCGATACTGGAGATCAGATAGCCAGACTAATTAGAATAAGCAACAAGGAACTCACTCTGGCAACCTATCGCCCAACAAATATGCAGAAGGAAGTGTAGATGGATTGGGCATACACTGAGAAGGCCGACTAGGGACATCACGCGCCAGGCGCTCGAGTGGAATTCAAAGGGGAAACGATGATTTGGGCGTCCGAGATGAGGGTGACGTGGAGGAGATTGTGTGAGGAAGAAATGAGAGCTTGTGGGCAGTCGTGGAGCCAGGTTGAAAAGACTGTAGAGAACAGAGTGCAATGGTGACTTGCTAGTGAAGCCCTATGTTCCACTGGCAACTCAAATGACAAATAATAATAATGAAGCGGACAACAGAATCCCTGTATGGGATTCTCATTAAGACCAGGATTAGGGTAGATTTAAGACCGGCGATCGAGACGAATTTAGTTGGTTTACTGAACTGATTAGGCATAACAGTTTGGTCTACCGAAATCCATGCAGTTTCCAACAAACTAGCCGATCGGGTTCAATCTAAGTTAGTAGAATTTATCCACTTGGCTAGATGTAAAAAGGTATACATTCGAAAGATAAGAAATCTTTTAAAAAGTTCAGCAATAGCTATGCGTACTGTTAAATGCTATCCATAAACATCATAAGATAGAGGGATACTTTAAATAGGCAAATTGGGTGGGTGGAGACAGAGATTGATAACTGTAGCTTTGTTTCTGTAGTCAACAGCTGGTACACTTGACTAGAATGACGAGACACCAATTTGCGACATATGAAAAATTTTACTACAGAAGTAGAATTTAAACACTTTTATATAGTGTAGTTCCATAATGAATACGTTTATTTGGTATAGCACTCAATGATAAAATATTATTTACTTAATGACGTTTCGAACAAATACTAAAGCTCATAATCATACCAATGTGATCATATGGCCTCCGTGTTTGGTTCATTACATTCTGATCTTTTGCAGTGCGACTGACGTAGAGTCATCCCTACTGCGTGTGTTCAGTGTTGCTTCAATCAAAAAAGAATCAGTAACCAATCTCTCCTTCTCTCCACTTAATTAAAGCAAAAGCCTTTTGGTCCAGCTAAAAAACGAAAACCGTATTGGTTATTTCACTGGTTACTGGGCTGGCCCTCACAGTTCTTATATATATATAAGAACTGTGAGGGCCAGCCCAGTAACCAGTGAAATAACCAATACAGTTTTCCTTTTTTAGCTGGAGGAAAAAGTTTTTCCATAAAATGAAGAAAGTGAACTAACAATTTCAGTAGTTGTTATGGTCAATTTTAATGTCAGCTTTGAAATGAGCAGCTGACATTAGATATAAGCTTAACCATACCTTTCTAAATAAAACTGGAATGGACCCCCTGAGGCTGCATCTGCATGTATTGCTGACAGACATTTCTTCTTTAAGGTATCTAGTGAAGCGTACTTTGAATTGTCCGCATTCGAAGGTACTCCTTCTTGCTGTCGTTCGCCTAGAATATATTTCCCCTCCAGTTCCTTACCTGGTAACTTAATATTTTTGCTGAGCAGTTTCTGTTTTACAGTTTTACTTTGGGAATCATATTTCAGATTTTTAGGGGTTTGTAAAAATCCATCACTTCTGCTGTAGTTGTTTAGACCTAGTGTTGTTATAAATGATTCTATGACAACTGAAGATTTTTGATAGACAGTGTTCAATCTTCCCAATTGCATATTTGATTTATTGAAAGTTTTAGATCTCAATCCCTCCCATTTTGAACCAGGATACTTTTTCAAGCCTATGACATCGTTTGGATCATATGGTATTGTCCACGATACATTTAATTTCTTAAATAGTGGTATTCTAGATTTGTAATTCATTCTATCGAGATTACACTTTTTGAAAGTTCCACTAGACATTCTCGATATCTGTGTTCCTGTCCTGCTTGTCTGCGTTGTAGATGAAGCAAGTGTTGATGAAGTCTGTGATTTAAGACGTCTGCTGGGCATATTTCTTAAAATTTCTCGATTTAGGTCTGATTTAATGAGTCCACCTTTGGATAAAGCATTTTTAACAACTGTGTCGTATATTTCTTGATTCCAAGACTTTTCATCTTTAGAAATTCTTGTTGTCTCCTGACTTTGTTGTACGGATCCAGATAATTCTTCTTCTTCTTCAAATACTTCATCGTTCTTTTCTCGTTCTGCTTCTTCGTCATATTCTTTATGAGGCCGCATATCATCGTCATCATAATCACGATCTTCTTGTTCAATATCAGAACTATCCAACGATAGATTTTCAGTGTTGACGTTGGACGATACTTTTCGCCGGTTATCATTAAAATAATTTTTACCGCTATGAACAGTTGATGATCGTTGTGATGGTATGTAGAACAAAGCAGATCCACCCAGACCACTTGGCATGAACTGACAATTCCTGATTATTCTCTCCCAATGTAATAGCCATCTTGCTAACCAATAATATCTTAAACGTCGTAAGCAATCATACTGGACACAGTCAAACATCATATCACCCAATTGACATATATACGATTCTTCAGGATCACAGCATTTCGTCATAAAATAATCTGAAATGGTATTGATTGATGTGAATAATTTCTGTCGAGCTTTAGGTGTCAATCGAAGTAGATACCGATCTTCAAGGTCACTGATGGAGAAGAAAACAAGGAATCCAAACAAATAAATAAATCAACAAAGCACATATAAAGCAAAATAAGACTAATAGTGGGTGAAATCCACTACACTAGTACCATTAAGATGAATGATTAGGAAAAATAAGACGTTAGTGACGAAAATTCTGAGTGCTGACTAGTCAGGTAGTAGATGCCTCAAAAAATGTAAATAATATATTACTTTTGTAACTTATTATAATGTCTGTCATTTGCTCAATTTCAATTGGTCAATATGTACCTGAATATGATTGGCTGTCACCAAGGTTAGTTGACCTAATGACTGAATATTTGCTATAGGGAATGGATTTCAACAGGATGGCTACTGAAAAGTAAGGAAATTGTCCCACTTATTGATACTGGTAATTTCTCAAAGATTATTGTACTGGATGAAACTGATCAATCTCTGTTAGCATATAAATACCTTAAGCAAATGTCTCGATATTGCCTAAAGTTTCATCCCAATGTTATTTCGTTGGTGGCGGCTAGCAGTAAAAGCGAGGCGTCCGTTCAAGGAGCTCATATGCCGGCAGAGACTGCTCAGTTCGGTTAAGCATGACAAGCAGTGGAGAATCTCAAACAGCAACAAACAAGAAATAATACTTGTTGCAAAAGAGGTGGATGTCAGCTAAGTAGTCAAGTGGATGATGCACTGACATTTGAGGCGATGGTCGCGGGGTTCGAGCTCAAATGCAAGCACTACCACCCGCTGGAATGCAGATATATCTAGCTGTAGTCTTAGATATATGGAAATGCACCCTCTGGACCCTACTGTTAACTACTAACAAGTAAACAAAGGAATCATGTTTCATCCTTTTCTCTCACCCATCAGTGATAATACTTGAACTGCCATTTAAAAAGTGAAACTGGAACTCAATTGTTTGGTAGTGGATTAGTTATTTTCATAATATCCATATCCACATTCATCGTGAAGTATTTTTCTAGTTCATTAGAGCTTCAATCGGACACCACTGAGCTTCTCTTTCACTCTGGTTGAGTTGGCAAATTGTTGGTTGTGATTATTCCGACTAAACTGAAGTCCAAATGCCGAAAATTGTGACACAGATAGGTGAACAAACATAGTGACCTGGAAGCTTGGAGAAAAATAATTTCTTCTGGGTTTCTACAACCTTTCGGTGTCACCGAAAGGTTGCATATTCAATCAATCCTTTGATATGAAACTTCATCGTTGGCTGCTAGTGAGATTATCAGAATAGCTGACGTTTCGCAGACCTATTTCTAAGGACCATTTTACCACATACAATGTTGAACGGTTAGTAAGGTTAAACAATACATACCCATATCAATGACTAAAAGAATAACATTTAAGACAAGTATTAGATTTAGGAGAAAAACGTCTAATGTGAATGTATAGATTGTAAGAAAAGTAGCCATCTAGGTGATTTTCGTTTAGCTGCCACTAAGATAAGGTCATAAATATTTAATCTGAGACGATGAACGTCTTCAGCTCAGGAGGACCAGGATAATTTTATTGTACCTTCTTAGACTCAATATTTGAACGTCAGCTTTTCGCCACTTAACTAGCTGACTTCATTAGCATTTATGTAAAGTACTTATGGATCCTAAGTGTCATTAACTTTTGAGTGGAGAACCAATGTCTCATCACCGATTGATCTTTTCTGGTTAATGGATAAATGATTTTTACTGGAAAGCTTAATTTACAGTTATTTTTTAATACCCTTATCCTAGGGATGACATTTCGAAATATGCGATCCATTTCACCTTTTTGAACAGTGATTTCTGTGGGAATCGTACATCTGTCTACCAGTAGAGTGCTATTCCGGTAGTTTAGATGCTAATGATTCAAAGCCTTTAAGATATTCAGGTAGTCCATGTAAATTCAGTTGTTACCCATTCAAACTGAGATAAGTTTGCTGAGTTGAGGTTATGTCAAATAGTCTCATAGACAGTGATATTATTTACTGTTTTGGTGTATACATTTACTGCAATTTTAATATTTTCCATTCAATCCTTTACTCATGTGCGGTGTGCTTTAACCAGGATTTATTCGATAGTTTGTTGGTTTCACTTTAGAGGTTTGTGGAGATTGATTAATTCCAAGTTGGTATTCATAGTGGACTAACGTCAGCTGGAGGACCATTTAAAATCTGAGAGCACTGGAAAGCTGTTTCGTCCTATTATAGAACTCAGCCGTGGGCACCCATGAACTGGTCAGGGATTGACTCAGGGTATTCTGATCTCTCAGCTAGCGCCTCACTGTTCTTTCTTTACATCATTTATACATTTATGTCATTCAAAGTATTCAGTAGATGGTTAGCTTTTTTCTACCCCACTTACAGTGATTTGTCTAGAAAGTTTTTATTGATTTCGTAAAAATAATAATGATTGCTTGGAAATGTTGTCCTTTAGAATTCTCCGGCATAATTTGCTCACCTGTGTGCTCTTCTTTAAAATATTTAGTGTCATTCAAAATTCATTGATCAATAGGTTCAGTAATCCTGATTCAGTCAAATCAAATCGAATAAAGGATTAAAACAAACTTTTAAATTACCGAATTAAATCAAATTTCATCTTAACACGATCGAAACCTGAATCTTCCTCTGATGTTACCATTTTGATTGCTTCACAGTCCAACCAAAAATCAACAAGGTGTATACCACTTGTTGTAACTAGGAAAGCCATAAAATCTCTCATCCCGTCACGCTAAGTGATTACAAAATAAATAAATGGAATTAGAATTATTTAATAGGACGATCAATGTGGAAATAATTTACAAATTGCACAGTCCACTTTGACATTTCTCACAGTTAAGTAGTTTTTGCCAACTGTCCAGATGGGATGTCAACAGGGTTGTCGTTGAAAATCGCCCATCCCCAGTCGAGAACACAAGATCGGATCCCTGACACAAAGATGCCATGAACTAGCGAAGTATGCTACTACTGAACAACCTGAGTAGTAAGGAACCACTCAGACTGATCCATAGATTTCGTAGGCCAGATCGGAGTGATCTTAACACTGGAAGGCCATTTCGCTCGTTTGAAGACCACCTTATCAGCGGCGTACCGGGGGAAATCCAGTTCATAGATCCCAATAAATTCAAATTACCTGAATCAGGCTGGCTAAATTGCATTACTGGTGAAAACTACATTTCAGCCTAAATGGTTCCTAACTACTCAAGCTGTTCAGTAATAGTTACACAGAAATATATTTAAGTCACATTGGATAAAGTTTATCAATACAACCCTGTGGGACTACTACGTAGGAGCATCCGGAACACAGGAGCTGGTGAGTGGGTAGTAATAAGCTGCATAAGACTTTATAAGTCATTCTTCCGGGGAAGACTTAGCATAAGTTGACCACCAGTGGGTAACAGATCTACCTGCCTACTTTCTAACGCTCAGGACTAGTCAAAGTCTTTCGGTCAAGTTTACAGCAGGGTGCCTAAGCTAAGTGATGCATAGGTACAACACATTGTCTTCATGTTGGATATTGGGAGCCAATCGGTTACTCTCCAGTGACTAATTTGTGTGGATATCCCAGTCCCATAGCGATTCATTCAAGATTTTAGTAGCTTGGTGGCAAAGTCTCTTATTTCACTACTGAGTGATGAAAGTTTGATTCTTAGAGAAAGCAGGTTTGCTCATGGTTGTGTATAGACACCATTAATGAGTGCCTCTAAACACGAAAGCTAGCTTAAGAGCTTTCTGCTAACCAACTCTCAACATCTAAAATCAAGGCCTGGGAATAAATTATCCAGCTTCACTGTCGAATAGTGAAAACATGGCTACTAGAACATTTATTTGCAGTGCCTTATGAAATAACCCATTCAGCTGCTACAGAACTATCCTTGATGAAGAAAGTTAGAGTCAGCAATATATCCTTGGGTTGACTGCACTTGTAGCCACCTCCATAAAACATTAACCGTAAATAGTAAGCATTCGTGTTGAATCAAACAACTATACTGATCAATAAAACACACGTTACAGTGGAAGTCTCAAGAGTACTGTGATATATTTTTCTCAATGAAAATCATGCCTTTCCACTCAAGATTAATAGAAGTGATGAGATCTTTTGAGTTGAAGTGCAACTGTTTATCAATGTGTATTTTGTTTTAGGCGATTAAAGAATTGATGCTTGGAAAATATTTGAAAATATGACCGGTGAAGACAAAGGTTTCATTGTTTACCGATTTGAAATTACATTCCAACAAAAGACTCGAAACCACAAGGCTTTCTGTGACAAGTCATACAGAAAAAAAAACAAAGCCAAAGTATAGCCTCTTTTAGAAGTACATCACTTCAAGCTGCAACACTTTATAGCAGCATGTGAAGGAAATACGTACAGAAAACCAATGATGTAAACGTTGACAAAAGCGTAGAGGAGGCGAAAAATCCTGAAAAATCGGTATTGAAAATCTTCACACATTAGATGTCGAACAGTAGGGTCTCGAGACGCTAACAGATAGTACCTCAAGAAGTCAGTCGGGTAGCCTAATTTGACTGAAATGGCTCCGAACAACATTTGGAGAGATTTTCTGAACTGGTTAAACATCATGGTTTGACTAGTGTTGACCATCTTCTAACCTAAACATTATTCGGCTTCCATCACACATCGATGTTGCTTACGGCTTCACATGTGCAATACATGTCCAAATCACCTCACTCACAAAAAGTCAAAAACCTTGTCGAACGAGTAGCCTGTTTTGTTTATTACACTTCACATAACCTCAATGATGCTAATACAATGCGTGATTCCACCACACGCGAGCAACACTACAATGAAACCTATGGTGGTGGTGGAATCACGCATTGTGTTAGCATCATTGAGGTTACGTGAAGTGTAATAAACAAAACAGGCTACTCGTTCGACAAGGTTTTTGACTTTTTGTGAGTGAGGTGATTTGGACATGTATTGCACATGTGAAGCCGTAAGCAACATCGATGTGTGATGGAAGCCGAATAATGTTTAGGTTAGAAGATGGTCAACACTAGTCAAACCATGATGTTTAACCAGTTCAGAAAATCTCTCCAAATGTTGTTCTGAGCCATCTTAGTCAAACTAAGACGTTGCCCTGATCCTTTAAGTCTGTGACTGTTAGCGTGAACCACATAGAGAAGTCCGGCTAGAATCTTGGAGATGGATTCTAACGATCCAGATGTATACATCTATTATTATTTTCGATTTCTTGAACATTTTCTTTAACCTTCGTCGACGTTTTCTTTCTCTCCTCGTGCACTTTTATTAACTTTCATGGCATTTGTTTTCTGCTTACCTTCTCTTTATTAAGTATAGAAAGCGATAACTTTCTGTCCCAGGTTTTATGTCTATCTGCCTATTATGGAACCGTTGTTTAGATGAATATTTTGTCAGAAACTGAATAATTTTATAAGGCGATTTACGTAACTGAACTACATGGGCTGTTGTTAATCATTTGACTTACAGAGGATAGAAGTATCTCTTTTAATTGTTGCATAGGGATATTTTGCCTTTCTTCCATAGCCTGAATCTCATGAAAAACATTCTCAATATCAACTTCATCGTGTAGAACACTTTTTGAAATGTTATCAGATAGTTTTGATCTCGATTTACTACTATTTGGAGGTAGATTTGTTTCACTATTCTCTTGTTTAGAATTCAGTTGTCTCAAACTATCTTGAACAAATTCGAGTGTATCAAATGTATCATTTCTCGAACTATTGTAGTAATAATAATAATGATACAATGATTTAATTGGTTCTGATTGACGACGTAGTCGATTGGCACCAGCATCATCACTCCTACGGCTGCTTTCTTCACAACTAGTTTGTTCAACCAATGGACTTGGACGACTGAAATCATTCACTCTTGGCAGATTACCTTCGAACATAGATAGTCGTCTTTTGGAGTGATAAATTGAAAAACAGAAATGAATTAGTAAGTGAATGAAAAATAAATCGACAATAAATCAAGCATAAAAATGTTTGTTTTTTAAAATGTGAGTTCGTTTGAAGGTTGTAAACTGAAGAGATTTCCTTTTTTTTGACCATAGTTATCCTTATAGTGTTGCTGTAAAGCTACAACGGAGTGAGCGCTGCTGAGGTTCGAAATTCGAAAAAACAACGAAATCTATTCAGCAACCAATTTTGTGCAATTGTTGCAGCAAACAATGAGCCACACTTATTCTGTAAGGTCTAATGATACTACCTGACTTCCTAAATCTCGGTGGGTGGACCGGTACTTGAAATCGTAACCCACTGGTTTTAAGTCAACTCTCTAGACCAATGAACCACAACTCCATCTGCTGAGGTTAGGCGTAGAGTATTAGACAGACCAATTGGTGAGGTCATAATACGGCATTACTTCTTATGACCTCCAAATGTGTTACCCTTGCTGAATCCCAATATATGTAAATTCATAAGTACCATATTAGACAAATAATAAAAAGCACTTATAAAGAAAGTTAAGGATGATCGGGTGTGACACCAATCCACAAAGCCTTTGACTGAGATGCTTAGCGATTTGTGGGAGTTTAAGCTCCACACTTGGGATTGTCAAGACGTTATGGGTCAAGGATTTAAGTGTTTCTCTTAAATAAGTCATAACAACAAAGCTATATTTACTGATTGTCATCTCCAAAGTTCTGAAAACATTATGAATATTACCGAGGTTGCATTCATCAAGGATTGACATCGGTTGGAGAACCACTAAGAACCCCGGAGTACTGGACAGGTGTTTCTTCTTAGTAGGAGACTCCTAAGCAGTGCGCATTCACGACCCTACTAAAGATCAAACTTATGACCTTCAGGTTTCACGGTGAACGCGTTAACCATTTGACCACTGGGTCGAAGTTCAGTGGTCCACAGTTTCGTGCTTTCGTTATAATATTAATCTATTACTTTCCTTGTCGTGTTATAGAATACTACTTCACTTCCACTCTATTTCTGTTCATTACGCCTTTCACTGTTGGTAAAGCTGTGTGCCAACTTGATCGTTTGCATTTTTATGTGCTATCCTACATTTTTATACCTTCCTGTTATTAAGAAGTTACTGTAAGTCAGCCAGTTTATAGGTTTTTAGATCAATCTGATCTGGCTGGAAATACTGCTTTCCGAACAAAATGATGATAAGTCAGTTAAGCATAGGGTGAAGAAACTTTATCATATGTGCGGAAATTGAAGTTGTCCAACTGGAACTAATTCAGCATTGAAAACTAACCGCCACTGGTCATAAGTGATGTAGATCAAAATTTTTCACATACACAACAGTTTAGGTACACTGATTGTTTATCTTTTTTTATTTCCATTACTTTTATCACCTTATGACTCTATTTCCATGACACATAGAGGTACATCGCCTTTTCCTGCTTTGTTCTTTGTTGTTTGGTGTACTACAGTGCTATGACTTGATTCAATGAAAATTTTTTTTGGATATAATTAGGTTTTCACAGTCTAATACGAATACAAAGTTTGTCTGAGAAGTGTGATGTAAGTGAGCAGTAAAACTGGAACAATTTGTTAACAAGTTTACTCTTCAAGGCGTTTCACATAAAAACTGATAATAGACAGGGGTCCGATAAATAAATAAAGGGAATAAGAGATTTGAACATTAAAAATGGTTATGAAGGAATTGAAATATTTACAAACCAACCTTGGTATCGAAAAATGAGGTACAACCAACTACAGAGCACCGTATGGAAACTATCAGGATTGTATATTTAGATCTATAGGAAATTTACACGAAAGTTTCAAAATTCTTTATGTATTCAAAAGCAATATACCCCTACTTTAAACCTCCTTTAGTAACCTTAGTCTCATTTGAATACCAAGGTCAGTGTAAACCAATATTATCCCTGTTTTGTCATCCATTTATCCTACTGGCTTCTATTACTCAAATTTTATTATGCATATACTTCTTAGATAAACTGTATACAGTGACCAATCAGTTTATCGAGCTCAGCTTGCAGGGGTCAGTCCAGGCCTGATAATGTACGGTGGTAGCGTCTTTAACAACAGCATTGGGTGACACAGGTTCGAATCTCATAATTGATACTGATTTCCTCAAGGTTCCAGATAAACCAAGCTGAAAAGTGACAACAATCACGAAACCTAGGTCAGATAGATTTTCCAACCGATTGCCTCCAACCAATTAACACTATCCTCTTCTTCAACGTCCCTCCATTTACACAGCTTCTTTAGTCCCCATTTTATTTCCCTGACACTTCTCAGATAAACTCTATCTCCTAGTGATATTATGCAGATTCATTACAGAGATTTACTGTTTTCCACATCTTAAGTAATCACGTCTGTCTTTCTAGGTGTATATCCTTGAAATCTTTATTTACTTGTGAGTAGTATATATCTTTAGTTTATATTTAAAGTTAATTAAATTGTGTTACTTGTAATATTACCATAATCACATTGCATTAAATTATCAGCTTTCAGTAATTAATTTAACTCAGTCATCAGCTTCATTTGACCAAATATCATCCAGATAACACAATTAATTTAAACAAAATTAATCAATCAGTCAAACGAAAAACCACAGGATAAATATGTTCCACCAATCAGAGTGCAATATTTCAATTCCAATATGTAGAATAAAACACTCATTCACAGAACATACTCTGGCAGATAACTTAATTTTAATATGATAACATGATGCAACATGTCTGTTGACACGAAACTAATAATCTGTTTCCGCATAGCTTTAATAAAAAATGCTAATTAGTATGCTACTGAAACATCTAAAGTCTCGGATCACAGTTTATCTTCATCTGACTACTTTATAAATCATGTGGAACCAGTTGTTTACTTTGTCTTTTCTATGTTTAAATACTTGAAACTTCGGTACTGTTTACTAATGATACATCTTTATGCACATTACTGTATATGCAATTCCACTTCCCAAGATGTTTGCATTTCTTGCCCTTAAGGATTTTTCTAGTTCTAAGGAGTTAGGACCCAATTTACTCTACTTATCAGTTGTATTACAGTTTATCAATTGAATAGTGATCAAAAATAAAAAAACTAGGTGATTTTTCGCACTTTAGAGCTCTTCAGCTGCACGAGATTGAGTAAATGTTTTTGTTGTTATTCATGGTGGAATTTGAAACTAGCTGTACAGAAGAAACCCATACACTAGTGGTAACTAGTAAATACAGTTCTAGAGAAATTTAAAACTAAAATTTTAAGGGATTATAACAAATAATACCAGTGAAACAAATAATATTTATCGTTGCTGAAAAGCACATTAGCTAATGAATTTCCATTTTAATGGGAAACATAACTCGTTTGAATGCATCCATATCCAACTGATGAATTGTATTCAAGATGAAATATGCTCACACTGCATTCCGATATCAATAACGTCATCGTTTAAGAGTTTATACTACAACTGTTTTATAATTTACTCACCTGGTTTTAAAATACTTTGAATATTCACGGCTTCTTCGTCTTCCTGATGTCACATCTGAAATTCATATAAATCAATAAGGATGTTAAATGAAATACGTATGACCTTAAATCTGTTAGTCAAACTTTTAAACATCCTAACCGTGAAAAGTATTGGAGTTTGAAACACAACTCACTAATCGCATTAAAAGGAAGCTAATTTTAGTCCATGGGATAACTAAAACGTGCTTAGTTATGATTCTGCATTATTTTATATTCTCAGTGCTCGTTAGAATCAAAAGACATAAGATTCACTTAATATGAGAAGCAGGTAATTGTTGAGGTAATCATTCTCTCTTACTTCACAATGTAATTACACAGAGACAGAGGGTGGTAGATATCAACATAGGACCTGATATTACTGCGTAGTGATTCCAGTTGCCATACCTCATGTGCAACAATATGAAATAGTGATAATCGATAGTGGCTTGCAGTAGAACTCAGGATGCGCATTTCGTTCCATCCGTCATTACTATAATTAGAATACAGGTAATATCAAGGCATCCGTACAGGAGCCAATATGTCAATAGAGACTGATCAATTCGGTCCAATCAACGACGGTATAATACAAGCAATTATACTAAAACTGTACCCGTCGCACAAAAAGTGGCTATCGTGGCTCGGTGGTGTAGTGGATAACGCTATGTCGTTTGAAGCTATCACTCTTGAGTCCAAATCCCGGTGGGAACGTCACTCACTGGGAGGCAAGTACATCCACCTGACGAGTCGCAAATAGGACGAAATGCCCTTCCTAGATTCCACTGCTAGCCGCTATCCATCATTACTATACATAATTAAAACACAGGTAATATCGAGGCATCCCACAGAAGCCCCTATGCCAATAGAGACCTATCGATTCGGTCCAGTCAGTACATGTCACTATACATCAATATGAAAAATTACAAAATAGGGAAGAAAGTTGTAATAAAAGTGAAGAGGAATGATTTGAATGATGATGAGGTGTGGACATATCTACACCACTGAAAGTGATTCTGAGATAAACCACCAAGATTCTCTGAACACCTACTTTGGATGTCACGTGGACTCAATGGAGAAATCCGCATTAACCCATATGGCTCAGACCAACAATCAAGAACTACATGCAGTGATGTTAGGTTTTAGTCTGATCATCTCTAGCCTTTTTTCAGCCTTAACTTACTTCAGCTTAGACTAGACATGCATAATACATGCCCGAACCACCTGAGTCAATTGAGCTTCACACTTTCGTCAACTGACTTTCCTCGCCACTTTGAAACTCTACATTCTACTTCTGTGTTGTTTAGGCGGTGGATTCGTGGCATACATCCTGTGCTAAGCAGCAAACAGTGGTCGAACACCTGAAGCCTTCTCATGTTTTCTGAATTAAATGGTCATCTTTCACATGCGTATAGTAGGACAGAGCAAACTGCAACGCAGTACACTCGGTCGTCACTAGGTAATCAGATATCACGGAAGTGCCATAAATGGTGTAAGTTGGAGAACGCCAAGAATACTTTTTTTATCGGTGTGGTAGTTTCTACGGTCACTGATGCACAAAGACCTGATCTAACTTCCCATAGAAGTAAAGTGATGAACCATTTCACTCTATAATAGTAGAAGCAATCGTTCATTCAATATCATTTTGAAGAAAATGATTTTTACTTGGATTATCAATAAATGGAATAAATATTAGGGAATTCTGTCATACCTTTTTTTATTTGATACAATTTCTTCCTTTAATAAATTGAAACTAAGCGACAGCAACAGTTTGAACGGAATGACATAGCATACCATAATGAATATACTTTAATTCAAAAAGATGAACATTCAGTCAGTCATTGAAACAGTTGCATATTGGATTAGTATGTGGTAAGCAATAAAAAATCCGAAGAAAGAATCTGAATTTCATGCTTATAGACATACAGGTTTCTCAAAAACAGACAGGGCTTGGCGAAAAGAAATTTTGTTAGACTTGAAATAATTCAACAGATGTTGAGAAAACAGAGTGTATAAATTATAATGGGTCTCATAATTCAGTTGGTAGGGCACTGAGTCGATAATACGGAGGGTGTTGGTTTCGAATCCTTCCGCTAATTAAGCTTTCACTTCACGTTCAGTCATCGTCTTATAAAAAACATACAAGTCTGCCAGATAGTCTCATTGAAAATATAGTGAGTTCAACCCACTTAGTCAGTATGGATTAAAGTTGAAGTAGCAAAATAGGTATCAAAGTTAACATGTAGTTAACATATTTCATGTGTTCAAGAGGAAGTCATCATCAATCTGTTTGCCTAATCAGCCCGATTCCTAACCTTTACTTTAAAGGACTTAAAGGTTAACGTCTCAGTGGAACTTGGGAGACTGGATCGAATTTGTTTGTGAATTATGTTTATAGATTTTAGGATGTCCACCTGATATCTTGTGTTAGTCAGATACCACTAGTGAAATCTCTGTTTTCCTCGAGTTGTAAGCTCTTTTTGAAGGTGTTCAGAAGATCTGAGGCAGCTCTTCCTTTCTGTTCTTCTAATGCACATGCTTTGACAGCTTTATATAAACTGATACATAAAGTTGAAGTCACACAAAAAGCGAACCTTCTAACTTTTGACTGCAATTTGGAATAGTTCGTCTCATAAAAAGAGAATTAGTTACTAGTGCTACAAAATATTTTCAGATTGTCAAAAATCTTTCTTAGGATATGAGAGAAAACCAGTAGTTGAGAGATATTAATTATCTTGAACTCCATGCTCTTTTTTGGTTTTTCTAAACCTTGGGATTTTCCGATCTTTATCCAACCTGATTTTTGCCACTAGGTCTAAATAAATAGTGATTGCTTCCAAACAATGTATGTTATCGAGTCCTACAGGAAGTCGATCACGAACTAAGCCGTCTAGTAGCAACATCTCTGACTGAAGCACCAGGTGACCTGGGTTCGAGTCTCAGAGAGGAGAGACATCAGTTCCCTTGAGGTCGTAAATGAGCCTTCCTGACCAGTACCTCCAATTAACATTCATCAAAGTGCACCTGGATGGTGGGTCTCCTTACTTGGAATCCACATTGTAGCCCTCAATTGCCTTGGTATGCGATCGCAGCCTATGCCACAGAAATCCTATTCACAGCCTTCATGTGATGAGCGTGCTTGCACAAAAGTGAAATAGCTAAAGCGAATATCCGGCAATTATCACTGGACTGGCCGATACTGCAGGTCCATCTAGGAGAGTTGGAAAACCCGATTTTAAACCAATGGTGAATATATGCTCGAGGTTCCAGAAGAAACAAATGGCGTATGGACCTATTTTGGTCACCAACAATCATGGAAATGCAGCTCCTGATGTTACGCCACTGCCTTGTGAATTAAACTTAAAGCGAGAGGCTTGGAGAACGGTCCCTTAAGACAACCATCTACTCCGGTCTGGGTTCCCAGGCAGTATCCCATCCTTCACACAAAATATGAAGTTACAATAAACGATGAAGTTTTCTTAAATGCTTACTGGACTCTTCGTGAAATATTCAAGCCTTTCGCGCAGCGAACAATATAAATAATTGTACAGTTCATTATTATTATACTGTCTTGTTGTTTTACACTTGAACAGTATTTTTGTATTATTGTCTTCGCTTTTGTTTTCATCTCCACTTCACTCACGTGCTGTCCACTGCTTAGACTTCTGGTCTGTCTGTGCCATCTTGAGTCGCTAAACAGTCGCCTCCGTAAAGCTGTTCTCCAGTGCGCTATCTGACAGCTACCCTGAAACCATATGTAAGGTTTAAGCTATCCACCAATATTCACACCTTGTTGCAGACCGGACAACAGACAGGTTTAACTCGGACTCTCGAAAGCCCTACTATTGTTATATGCTGCATCTCAGAGACCCATATACAAAATCCTAGTGAAGTGCTTCAAATTAGTTTTCCATCTGTCAGATCGAAATGTATGTTTCAGGTACGCTTATCCGTGGACCCTGTCGCATCGACAACCGGCCTCCTTGGTGTCAGTGTCGCACTAAGCTCTATAGACGAAGCTTCACTGCTCGAATGGATCCCAATCAACAGTCATCTGTAAGTTGTTAGTTTAGAGGGTTCATCTCGAGTAAGAAGTAACCTGCAAAAGAAAAGATGTCTCTAAGGTTAGCTACCGATTTCCCAGAAAGTGTAGACAAGCAATAGCCACACTTCCACTGGGCCGTGAAAATAGCGAGTAATGCCGCTTGCGGCTTGGAGAGACATCCCATTAATAAACACTGGGTCCGTACGAGCTCCCTGCAACTTCTTGATCACTAGATGTATTGCAGCCCAACAATCGTTGTGTTTTTTGACATTAAAGCTCCCTTCGAATCGTTGGACAGAGCTGTGCTCTGAAAGTGTCTGTTAGAGAGGGGTGTACTTGAGAAGTTTATTAACACCTTGAATGCCCTAATTAATAACACTTCAAGTACAGTGAGGACATAAAATAACCTGTTTCCATTGTTCCAAACCAGCAGTTTGGTTGGACAGGATTGCGCCATTCCTCCACTCCTCTTTAACTTTGTCATCGATACCATTCTTGATACAACTCTGAAGGAGGTGCATAATCGTGGCGTAGATCTATTACTCGGAGGACGGCCATTAGTGTCTGTAAGTATGGAATGTGCTTTGCACCATCGAAGTGCAAATTACTTTTGCAAGGTTGGCAGGAGCCTGTACCTGCGCTCACCCTTGGTTATGAGCCGTTGGGAGTAGTCGAAAAGTTCGTGTATCTGGGCTGTTATGTGAGTGCTGGTGAAAGTGCGAGTGATGAAATTTGCAACCGCATATCGAAAGTCAATCTGGGTCACCTGTGGCGCCATCGCTACTTTAATTGGAAGTGAAAGGTTGGATTTAACAACCCTTCAGTGCAAGCAGTGAAACCTAGCCTCTCCAAGCTGATGATATGAGACGACTCTGCGTTTGATCATCATCGTCTCCACAGGATTCCTCGTATCCTATGGCAACACCACGTAAGTAATTCTGAGGCACGTCGTCGTGTGTTTGGGCATGGTGGAGATCGTCATTCAATAAATGAAGTCGTCTGGAAACAGCGGCTTCCGTGGCTTTTACATGTGTTACGTATATCGTCCCAATAACTTCCGTACCACCCACTAATTGTTAGCCCTGAGACTGGAGGGAAGAAGCGGAAGGGTGATCAGTATGTGACGTGGCGCCGTGGGATGGAGGATAGTTGTATCAGGTTAGCATCTATTGGCGCACCATGACTTCCTGGGTTTGGTTCGAAAGGTCACGCAACCCAGTAGCTTGAAACGTCATTAGATATGGCTCAGATTCGAAACCGATAGCGGTCATGCTGTAGCTTCCTTCTATCTTCTGCTGTTGAGAAGTAATGAATGTTTTCTTTCGGAAGTATCTAATTGGACTGCCTTTCTAATCATTCTATTCTTCCTGTATTTTTCTCTTCATCTACTTCCAGTCGTTTTATATATTCAAAATAGTGTTATATTATTTTATGTGGCGCATTTCTTGGTGCCCTTGCTTTACCATGTCTGTGTTCGAATAATAATATTCTACGTTGCGAAATGGTTGGTAGAATTCGATTAGGAGTCAGGACTAGACAGTATGAGATTAATTACTCTCTGTCGACCAAAAAATGTTTGTAAGTATCAAACACAGTTGAAAAAATACGTTAAAAGTTTCGATTGTACAGCTGGAAAGAAGAGTCACCATGAAGAATATCTCTACTGAATTTTTGGGGATAAAATATTTACATATATTGTTGATTTTATTTGACCACTTATATTCGTTACTATAATGTACTGTTTCTTGACAACTGACTTCATTTCACTCACTTAAGGTAATCTGAAATTATGTTGTTACAGCCTGTAAACATCTGACGAAGTTATGGATCACTGGCTCGAGGAATTGACCTTCAATCAGTGGGTTACAGGTTTAAACACAGTTCCAGTAACACAGGTTTGGCGTGACAAGTGATATCATCAGCCCTCACCTCATGCAAAAACGTCCAAGTGTATTTCATCAGCACCTGATAAAAACAACCCAGTGAAATAAGACCATGTTTTTCTCGCTTTATTTAAGTTCATCGAGTGAAAAAGAGACTAGTTATATCTTGGCAAAAAATTGGCAGGCCATAGACCAATGTTCAACAATCATGCTACAAGAAATGGAAGTGTACATGTCTAGTTTCCATATGTGAGTAATTATTGTGAGAAAGTTGTTTACACTGGGTGATGACTGAAGTGAAAATGAAGATATAAGTCCACTACAAGACTCGAGCCAACGACTTTGGGGATTTATGCCTGTATCTTGATTGAGAAAATAGCGTAGAATCCGACAAAGAAGTGTCCCATTTCAATTTGTCACACTTCGCAGTATACTAAGAAAGATTTGATGATGCATAATGGAAGGTACAGTGACGCCTTTGAAGTGAAGACAGGAAGGAGTAAGATAAGGCTGCCAACAACTATCGCCGATCATCTTCCTCATTATGATCGACTGGACTGGATCATGCAACAAACCGTGAGAAGCGAGAAGAGGGGGATACGCTAGCTGGACCAACGAAAAGAGTCCAGAAGAAGATTTGAATTTCGCCGCCGATGATAAATTCTGTCTAGTGTCACACAGACTAGAAAATCTACAGGCAAAACCAACAAGTTGACAAAAGAGGCAAGGCAGTGAAAATGAGACTTCAAGTGAACGCAGAGAAGATGCAGGTGATGAAGATGCCCAACCAACAACAGCGACAACAACCACCAATCACCATGAACGAGCGAAACCTAAAGGAAGTAGTCTCTTTCATCTACCCAGACAAGGCAGCATCCTTTCAACTACAGGTGGCGGCACAGATGAGGATGTCAAAGCCATGATCGGAAAAGCAAGACAGGCTTTTATTAACCTGAAGTCAGTGTGGAGATCTACTGCACTGCACTCCACTCAGCAGAAAGCCTGAACAACATCCGGATTTTCAACACTAATGTCAAGTCAGTGCTCCTGTATCGTTCAGAAACTTGGTACGTCACGAAAAGCACTTCCAACAAACTAAAGACATTCATCAACAGCTGCTGCCTATACTCACTCGATACTGGAGATCAGATAGCCAGACTAATTAGAATAAGCAACAAGGAACTCACTCTGGCAACCTATCGCCCAACAAATATGCAGAAGGAAGTGTAGATAGATTGGGCATACACTGAGAAAACTATTCGGAGACATCACGCACCAGGCGCTCGAGTGGAATTCAAAGGGGAAACGATGAGTTGGGCGTCCGAGATGAGGGTGACGTGGAGGAGATTGTGTGAGGAAGAAATGAGAGCTTGTGGTCAGTGGTGGAGCCAGGTTGAAAAGACTGTAGAGAACAGAGTGCAATGGTGACTTGCTAGTGAAGCCCTATGTTCCACTAGGAACCCGAAACAAATGGTAAAAAGAAGAAAGATTTGACAGAAAACGAATGACAAAAAGTAGTCAGAAGTATGTCAGACGAGAGAATACAGTGTATAAAAGGAGGATTTACTATTTTTCAGCTTTTAGATATCACTGGAGAAACAAAAGGATCTCGTACCTGAAAATTCTGAGGGTATTGATTCATTTACTATCTGAGTACTTTCATTACTGCCCGAGTTGACATTAGAAGTGGTAGACTGGTTATTCTAAAAGACAGAATTAGGTTAGACCAGAATACATTCAGTAAAGAAAAGGATTACGTGCGAAATACAACACACAAGAAACGTACCATCATCAGTGTCCTAAACTGATTGAAACAAAAAAGGATATTACAATGAACATTATCTTATTTAAAAATGCTTTTAATATGAACAGAAATAAATTCATCATTAGTAATGTCGTTAACAAGCACAATGTCCAGGTTGACAATTAAACAAAAAAGGGAATTCAGAAGATTCCTATCTAAGCTTCCTTTAAAAAGCTGCGATCAATATAATAGGTCTATACCACTACAAATTTTGAATTATAACATAGACTTTAGTGTTCTGAAGAAAATCGTACAAATCTCCATCTTTAAAGGACCTAAGGTATATTATAGACTAGAAACTAGAAAAGTAATAAAGTAGGGAAGCAGCTGTGCTAAGTTACTGATAGATGCATCGGATTAGATTCTTTATAATAGTTCAGCATTTCTGACTGTGGTCATTTCTGTTTTTGATATTCAGCAGAGCATTCTTATTATATGCTTTTCATTAGATTATTCTCTATATTTGGTTGCACAGTCGCTGGAATTTGTAATCTTGTCTGACACCAGTTTTGCAATAATTTTTATTTCATTTGCCACCCTGCGTTTATTCATAAACATCTTTTGGTGCTTAACTCAGATTAACTAACGTTGAAATTATCACTTGGCCATCAAAATTACTCGTGAGTTGGGAAACGAACAATAAATCCCTTTTCTAGATTTACAGTTTTCAAGAAAAGGCTGATGAGATATGAAGATCATTTTACAGGTAGCCTGTATGGAATGTCAAGTCAACAAACTATTGCGGTCGTGTTGCCGCAAGTCACAAGAGAAATCTAACCACTGGTGTCTGCCGAATATCCAGGTCGGATGTATTAAAAGGTGAGATTTCTCTTCTGAGGAAAATCTTCATTCCGTATAAATTCATTCCCATGTTTTATCAACAAAAATGTAATACACAAACCTCCCGAAGAGATACTCAACCCAGTGCCCAAAAAGATGCTGTACATGAATCTTATCTTTAAAAGACCACCCAATGACTGATACTGTATAGGAGACGATATCAAAATCTTTTCGGAGAGCACTCTTTGAATCAACATTGAGATTAATATTTGTATGTCACCTACAGTTCACTATCCCACCTACTTAGTTCTGTGTGCACATATCTGTTCACTTATTCTTGAGGAGCAAGGTATACAGGTCGTTCGATGCAAGTATTATGCTGTATGTTTACAAAGAGATTACAATGGATCTATCAGAAATTCTACCACGAAACATATTTTCAACATCAGTCATTAGACTTCCAAAAAGTACATTTTCGTATTTTTCGGATTACTGAAACCCTAACCATTCGTTCAGTGCTGGAATGTCCCAGCTTTTCATAAAACATTATTTAATAACCTTAACATTTTTAAACTATCAACTTCATACCAGTTTTACTGTATGGTCAGTAATTCATCCACTCCACACCATTTTTAAGATAGTTCACTGATTAGTTAGTGGTTTCCTTCACCATACTGTTGTTTTAAATTCTGGGAAACGTCATATGTCATGTATATATACACACGTGTTTTTAGGTTAAGTGACTATTTTTTCGGAAGTAATAAACTCCCTCATTCAGTCCATTTTTGTCTACTTCGTCCGGAGTTGGAGTCATTGTATCCGGCTTAGGAAGTTACCTGTCAGTCAAGCATGAGTGCTACATTCTCTCGGGAACATAACACTTGGGAAATCATGATCTATGTATACAAAGAAAACTTAGTCAGCCTCTTCACCTTTCATGGTCTCATTCTGAAACCGGATTTTTGTTCCGTTCATTTGTTCACTTCGAAACTGCCCCCTTGTCATTCTGTTTATTTCTTGTGTAATTTTTTATTCATTTCTTCTGTTCCTACGCTCTACTTGACTACATCTAATCTCTTGTCGTGTTACTGAATGCTTGATCTGGATATTATTGATGTAACTACCGTTACATTTTAGTCAATTTTCTCTAATCTCAACAGTTTTGATGGTGTAATTTTGCTAAAGAAATAAGAAGATATAGTTTATCTAGAAAGCGTGGTGTTTTGTTCCAATACATTCCGAACAATCGGACCACATATTTTGTTTGTATTGTGTTCTCTGAGCTGGATTGTTTAATCGTGGAGCTTTCATCGTCTTTCTGGACGACATCATCATGTCCTCCAGAAAGACAATGAAAGCTTCACGATTAAACAACCCAGCTCAGAGAACACAATACAACCAAAACCATCCTCCTAAACCACAAATATTCTCCATTATCTCAAGATCATATATTTACTTGTCAACCATATTTATATGAATTAGCGCAGAGGAAAAATAGATTGAAAAAATAACTGGTATAACTTAATGTTAAACTGTTGGTTTAGAGATCAAATTATAATGAAAAGATAACATATTACATTATCATACATGGTATTAAAGCTGAGTTACTGTGGGAGGCTTAATGGAATAAAAAATTACTTTTGAATGCGTAAAAGCTATCAAAACTTCCTTATAGCTATAGCCTCAACAAATCTCAACTGGTTTTGTGAATATGCTAGAAAAACGTGTACAAATCGACCTTGTGACTCTTCTCAGTGATATGTTTAGTTATAGATAATGTTGAACATCTGTTGCCTTTGTCAAGAAGATCATTCAATTTGATTTGTAGTTGTGTTCTGTGGACTTTACTTGCATGGATCGACGGATCCTAGTAGTTTGTGTATGTGTGAACATACTCATATGTAAAATTATAAATTTCAGCTCAACGTTACCCCATCGTTCAAATACTATGAGAGTTTGGAAGAGTACATAAGCTTCGTTTTCTTCATGATGTTGGCCTTTGCTGGATAGTATGTTCTCCGGATGGCTACTTCAAGTCCATGTTAGGTTATCAAACTCTAATAATCACCCATATATGATATCCTGAAGAAGAAATCTCTCTTTCGAACTGTTTCTCCTTTGGTTGGCACTTCCGTTACTATCAATAAGTTCGGAGGATAACTGTTGTATAATAGTACTGTGACTAGCTTTCGTGTTTCCTCTCCCAAAGTTTCATTTGTGTATAGTCTCTCCACCCTGTTGAACAGATGCTTGACTAGTCCCCATTTATGCTGATGTGGACAGAAATAATAGGAAACTAGATTTCCTATAGATGGATCATTTTATTCACCCACCCTGTAGGCCAGTTATGAGAATAATAATATTAATGATCTAAGAAAGTTAGGAAGTCATCTTTTTCCGCCGCATATGTACAGGATATATTACTCTGAACTTCATTCATTCGACTGAGAATCAAAATGACACCTTCCAGCTTACCATATATAACTATGGTGTTGTCCATATATCTTTTGTGGAAAAGAACTTTTGAAATCAAATTTCCAACCAGATTATCGGTATGTGACACATAAATATCTGTTAGCAAGGGACCCTAAGGATATCCAATGGGCACATCATCCATCTGGAGTTGTTCACCTTCAAATGGAAAATTTAACATCACTAACGCGTTAAAGAAGAAGCTTTTTAAGATAATGGTGTGTAATGAACAGTGGAATATTGTTGGTAGAGGTATAACGGCATCCAGTGTCAACAATCTTGATCAAATGGGTATTAGTAAGGAAAGAATTAACACCAAGAAAAACAAAGTTCCGTTTTTAGGGTCATTATCATGAAGGTGTCTGACTGGCTAAAGACTTTGCTCGTTATTATTATCCGATAAACTATTGCAATTATCTAACGTAAATGAAATGGTTACCGTAAGTTGCATACATTTATGAATGAAATCACCGACAAAAGTCTCTTTGGTGAAATACATGATATACACATTCATTATACTCAACTATTAAATCGCGTAGTCTGATTATCTAGTATTATCCATGAAACTTTCACTTTTTAAAAATTCTTAACTGACATAAAACAATGAATTTCAAGGTCAAAAATCAACATTTGATAAAAAATACCTTCTCACTTAAAAGTGGACAGAACTCAAGGTTAAAAAACAATATGTAACATTGATGAGCTTCCAAACACGTTTCGCTTATTTTTGTATCAGATAGTGTGAGTCAGTCTGAAGGACGTCATGGACTTGATCGATAGACCTTCACCAGTGCTAAACGATAAGGACTAGATGACTGTGTCTGTTATCCAGAGTTTACCAATCTGTGTGTATAATCCAATCCGACAGGGCGCCGGTCGTCAGCTGGATAACTTGATGGTTAAGTATTTGACTCCTTGATGAACAATGTAGGTTCTAATCATTGGAGATGTACAGTGTCAACATACACAAAATCCAGGTCCAGTACGTCTTTATGTCGGCTGGATTACAAACCTAACACCATAATACAGTGCACTGCAGTGTCAGATCACTTCGCTTCGTAGTCATATTTCAAAACTTGATCGACATACTTCGATCAGTACTAAGCAGTACGGACTAGAGAACTACATGGGTCACCCACTGAGGAAACTGATTCTTATAAACCCCACTTGTTTGAGAATTTCGCCCTCTGATAAGGCGTCAGCAGTCACATAGTGCATTAGTTCATGTCACTACACCTTTAAGCAGTACTAAAGCAGGAGATGAAAAGATATAAAATGGCATTGAAATGAATATAAAGGAGACGACAAACGGAAAAATAAATTAACGAATATTAGTAAAGTTTTGGTTTTCCATCGGTTTCGACCCATGTCACTAAACATATGCAACTACTAATTACCAACATTTTGATAACCTCAGCTAGGGAGCCTATGCAGCTCACATCAAAAGTTCGAGAACACTACACAAAGATCACTTCCATACTGAGCTAAAAGCTTGCATTTTTGTAGAATATTCATGTAGTGCAGTCAATCAAATAATTTTGCTTGAGCAGAGAGACTACAGAAAGAGGAAAATCAGTAAAGGGATATTTTTCAAAGAATGAGTTTATGAAGGGGATTCTGCTGTCTGAAAGACATTGCTTTTTAAAA